CCAACACACCCGTGCTCCTCCCCGCTTGTCCACTGGTTCTGACTGCATAAACAGATGTTTGAGGCAAGCCTTCCTCGGAATAGGAACAGCTAGATAGCACTTTTCTAATCACAGGAGCTTGTGTTGTTACATTGTTTTGCTCTGTTTTGATCTGCCTAGCTCAACCTTTTGTCTTTTCCTCTCACTCCTCATTTGTTGCTGTTTTTCCTTTTGTGTAGAGACTTTAGATACAGTTCTGACATGACAAATAAAAAAAAAACACTTCATTTTGAGTCGCAAGAGTTTCTGTCATCCTCCTCCTGTTATGTCATTTCTAGTATACTCGTTTGAGGAAGAAAGTGGCCTCCTTTTTTGCCAGATGCCTCTGGTATGATTCATCTGTTTCATTGACAAAAAGGTAAACTTGTGCCGGGGGAGGGTCTAGTTTTCCGCTGATTGTATCGTTCCAGTTTGGGCAACAGAAGCAGGGAGGGTCATGTTACATAATATCCATTCACAAAGTGTCCTGGACTTGGGTGGTTCTTTGGTCAGACAGTCTGCCCCTTTGAATTACTGTAAGTGACTAAATTCCAAAGGACACAATGTGTCATTTTAGGTTGAAGTGTAGGGACAGTGTATTTCTGCAGGCGATATGAAGGTCTGTGATTTGATCTGAGCGTCAGCACACCTGACCCGCTAATGTGACAGCATCAGCAGGTTCCCACTACCTGTTTCATCAAAGCCGAGCGCCGCTGCGTGAGGCAGCTTCCACGTCTTCGTAGCCCACAGCGAGTGGGCTGCTGTTGATTAATGGCATGTAGCCCCACACGCAGCCACTGGACCAATCTATTCATCACACCCATCTGTTTGCTGGAATAATGAAAACTTTAATGGGGTTTTAATGTGTAGTCTCACTTCTCAGATCTCAAAGTGACAATCCAGGAGATTATACCTGGGCCTTCGGGGAACAAAACGACTGAAAGACGCTTTTGTCCTTGTTGTGTGCTGCTGGCGCTGTAAAAGCTCAAGGATAGGCAAAGCATCATTGTCCTTCCTGTCTTCCTTGGAGACAAAAACAACTTTAAATACAGCATGAGTGCACCGGTTTTCTGTGCATCTGAGGGATAATAGATGTAATCTTCCTTAAATTGTTAGAAGCTGAAAGAAAGCTGTAAAAAAGTCATTTAAACTTGTATCCTCTTCTTAGCTCATCACATCCTATCTTTATTTAACAATACCTAAGACATATTGATTCAATGTTTTGTTATCTGCTGTGGTACTGTTTGGGTCAGAGGAGATGGGACAGGAATCAGAGACAGCTCCTGTCAAGCTTTAAAATGCATTAAAGTCTGTTTGGCTTGTGCCTAGACATGATGGATTCCTGCACATCAAGAGAGGGAAACGGATCCATCTGGAGTTCAATTGTTGATATTGGTTGTGAGGACAAAGAGTAACCACCATGGAGAAGAATGGAGGGAATCTTTGTTTTGTAAATGAAAAACTTCCTCAGACTTTGGAAACATCCATCTACCGCAGTCTTTGCAGGTCTTTAAATGCTATAAACGTCTGAACTATCAATAGATTGGATTTGGAAGCTTTGCGGTCACACGCTGGCCTTTGCAGAGGAGGTGTGAAGTTGTGCGGTGCTCTCAGGTACCGGGCTGCAGGCGAGGAAACAGGGTCAGTGCTTCTCCTCTTACTGCTACTGTATCCATAAATCCCAGTCAGTCCACTTCCCATTCTTTGTCCGTAGAGCTGTTCCAGGGCCAGCCACTAAACAAGGCCGTCTTGGCAGTCTCTGCGGAAGCAACGTGCACAACAAATCAAGTCGGAAGCACGCACAATTCAAGGAACAGCCCGAACAATAGCTCGGCCGGTTAATGTGTGCGGTCTGTGTGGCCGACTTGTCGTAAAAAACTACATGAAAGATGTTCTCGGTTTTACAGCAGCTCCGGTGTGTGTGAGTGTGTGTGTGTGTGTGTGTGTGTGTGTGAGTGTGTGTGTGTGTCTGTGTGTGTGTGAGTGTGTGTGTGTGTGTGTGTGTGTGCGTGTGTGTGCGTGTGTGTGTCAGAAACATCCAATCGGATTGAGTCATTGCATTTTTTTCCTAAGCTGTTTACATTAGATTAGTGGCTACTGGATTTTCCAGCTAAGCTTCCAGTAGCCATAGGTGTACATTATAATTAGCGCCATGCAGATGTAGAGACTGTTTATTTGCTATTAAACGTGAATTGATAGACTCCCTAATGAGCACTTTATTTGGCATCACGCATCAACAATAGGAAGCTGCTTTTTCACAGATGATCTCAAACGCCGTTTGCCCCGTTAGGCCTTTGCGAGGTTCTGACTAATTCTGCTCAGTGTTTGTACACATTAGACTTGCTAATCAGATGCAAATGCTCGTGAGCGGCAGAGTTGCGAGGCACTGCAGCCACAGAATGGTAATCAGCGTGGAGTTGCCCTACAACAAAGAGGCTGATTATCAAGCGTGCTTCTCTCCAACCAGAAACCTGGCGTGATGCTTTTGCCGGCGCAGCTCCTCTTGAAGTTCTGCTTCTCAAAAATACAATGCAATTAATATGATTTCTGCGATTCTTTTTTCCTCTCCACTCGCTTTTTACAAAAGCTGACTCAAGACTGGCTTTCTGATTAGTAGGAAATGTTGCTGTGGATTCAGCACTGCTTCCCTGCCATCTGCTAACAATGAATCAAGTGAAACTTTTCAATAAGCTCACCACACTCACAATCAGCCCTTTAGATGTTGGTGTCAAGTCATAATTCTTGCCTGCTCTGCTCATTAAAGCAACCTGTTCCCGCTTTTTGGAGGTATAATGTGAGCCTGCCGGGGTCAGGCTGCCCGCGGTGGGGCTGGTCAGGGCGACAGATGGCATTACCGCCCTCAGTGGGGAGGTAAAGAGATGCCCACCGTTAGGTTAACTACAGAGATGGATTAGACTTCTCTTTCACACACGGCGACTGCAGACAGTTTGTCTGAGCGTGGCGGCTGTGTGCTCACGGAGCCGCAGTCTGCGCCGACGGAGCACCGCCGCTGGAATCCGCTGCATTGTGCCGGTTGTGCAGTCTGTCAGGTCGCATCGGCTTTGTGAGCATATGTGATCTATGGGCCTTCGCCTTGCTTAGAAAAGAGTTCTGACGGCCCCCTTTTTGCACGGATTCCAAGACTAGAGGCTGTCACGATGTTCGGCGACCACGTTTTGTGTCACCTTCATTTAATTTTGGTTCATCTATCCCCGTCGTCATTTATCTTACTGATGCGGTTTAGCAGACAGCTGCGGCATAGCGTGCGCTTCATCTTACTTAAAGAATTCCCCCAAATGACTGTCTGCCTTTGCAGCTATTTAGAGAATGAATCGGTTTTGATGTGTGACATGGAAGCTGAGTGAAAACATCATGCATGTGTGTTTTACTGATGTTATATTGAGAACATTTCTTTTTAATGCTGTCTAACTTGCACACTGACATGTGTCAGCAGTAGAAAAAAAACAGAGACAACTTTATGTCGCATAAAGATAAAGCTTGGAGGTATCGGGTGGGGTTGCTGATGTTTGCTTTTATCATACAGATTTAATTATTTATCGGGACAGATTTCTGTTCAAACTCAATTTCACACACTCACCCAACATGGAAAAGCTCCTCCATCGACAGGTGAGACAGGGGGCGATGGAGGAGCTCCTCTTTTAAATCTCTCCTGTGGGCTGATCTGAGAAAATGACTAATTTATTTTCTGGTTAAATTTATGAATACTTTTAAAGCACTCCTCCTTAATTTGCTACTCTTAGTAAGTGCCCTGAAGCATTAAATGGGTTTCACAGGGGTAGTGCAGTGAAGAAGCCTGGGAACCAGCATCCTGAAGGACTAAAGAAAGTAAAAACGCTTTCCATCAGTCTCAATTCACACACTGCTGGCCTCTCCAGCTCCCATCTACAGCCACTTAATGCCACCTTTGAAATACAATGCACCTCAATTAAAGCTTTCTTCATACAGTGCAAAGCCGGTGTTTTGAGAATATCAGGTGTCCATTGTGAGGGTTGCCAATTTGCTGTGGCGGTGAAGTGTTGCAGCTGCACACAAAGCTTCAAATCCTCCCTCCTATTTGGTCTTTTTGAGGTACCAGTGATCGAATGGCAGCAGATAATCTCACCCTGGGGTCTGTTCGAATGCGTTAACTGCTGCTCTGCCCTCTGCTCTGCTTCAGGTGTTTCTACATCGTCTCAACCAGTACGCAGCCACCAAGCTCGACAAGAACATCACGGAGGAAACAGTGAAGGTGAGGGTGGCGGTGCGCGAGGTATGCGACCGTATAATTAAGACTGGGAAAAACAGGCAGGGTAATTAACTTTTGCTCTGCTGCTGCACTCAAACCTTATTTTCATTCCGTAACCCGATCCGCCAAAAGTTCGGAAATGACATTGCGGGCCAAACAAACTCGTCGCTGGTGCTCTTTTAACCCGAAATAGCCAAGATGGGAATGGAGAAAGAAGTGGTGGGCGATGAAGGAAGCAGCTGCAAATATAATCTATTTATAAATGATTCCGGTGGGGGGATAATAAAGGATGCTCCTTCACAGTGGGAGCATTTTCTGCTTACTTTTGAAGGTAAGCACACATTCAGAGGATATTTACTGCACGTCCCATGTTTTGGAATATGTCCTCTCATGTTATGTTTTGTTTGGGAACATGCTGTGCTGAGAGGGTTTTAGATAGCAGGGGGCTATTACGGGTGCAGTGTCACAGAGGAGCAGGGAGACTTTCAGCCCTCTAAAGGGTTTAAAGTTGACCAGAGTTTTTCTTTTTTTGCTTTTGGCTTATATAGCTAAATATTCTTTTAGCCCCAAAACAGAAAAAGACATGAAAGAGAACTGTTTTTTATACTTTGATTTATTTTACCAGTATCCTTTTTTAAAACCGGAATCAGGATATATATTTGTCTTTTAATATCACCACAAAAATGACATCAGTGAGGGCAAAAGTCTACCCAACTTGAGGGCTAAGTCTCTACACAACAGCTCTTTAAATGTGGTAAAATGTGGTAGTTTTTTTTTTTAAAGCTTTTTTGTTAAAGTATCTCAAATAGTGCTTGAAATTCAAATATCAAAGACCTTTTGAGGCAAGGGGCTCATTACAGAGAAACCTCATTCTCTACTTCGTGGCTACAAACATTCATTTATCTACCACCAGTGGCCACAAAAAAGCAGCATATGCCAAATTATTGATTTAAGACCTGAGCTGGAGAAGCCGGCCGAATGCGAACACCAGCCCACTTGGACTGAAATACAGTTTTGTGTTTTTCTCTCTTAGGTTTTGTTCTCAAACATTGAGGAGATACTTGCTGTCCACAAAGACTTCCTGTCCATGGTGGAGGAGCTGCTGCAGCCGGACCCTCACGCTCACCATGAAGTCGGGCGCTGCTTCCTGCATTTTGTGAGTAGCCCCCTGCACAGACATCTGCCTCTAATGCATCTTCCTTCGCCAGCTGAACATCACCGCAGCACCTCTCAGATGCGATGTCCTGTCCAAGCTCTTGGTGCTCGGTCACACTGATGCAACCTTCTCTCAGAATAATACTCTGCTCCCAGCGGCCTGCAACCAGAACAAATTCCACTGTGGAGTTCAAATGCATAGTGGGGTCCACCGGTACTCGTGAAAATGATAAGTTTCTCCACATGTTGTCAATTTATCTCTCTGGATTATTCATGATGAGACAGTGCACATGTGCGATATGCTTGATGTGGCTCTGATATACCGATCTCAAATGCTATATATCACGTTTCTTTGATGCAGAGCCTTGAGGCGCTGGCATGTAATAGGTTTTTAAAGTGCAATAAATCCAACTATCCCGTTGGACTCGAGGCCACTCCGGTGTACAGTCCTGTCTTGTTGGCGTTGTGGCACAGATGACATGGAGATGATCGAGCGGTGCAGATGGTTAAAGTTGGTTTATGATGGAATGATTTCACCGGGAGGATGGGATTCACTTCAAAGCTAAACTGGAATCTCATGCCTTATGACTCTAATTCAGTCACAAGCCATCATGTGAGTCCAGAGACTCTGCAAATGGGAAAGGCTCACGTACCGTCTTACTCTGCAGCTTTGTAAATCGGTCCCTCTCTATAGCCAATGCTGAAAAAAAGAAGAAAAAATAATTGGGTGACTTTTACACAGAGGGACAAAAGAGGTAAGTCATCTGGGCAGTAGATTCATTTGGACTCTGCGGTGCCCTTTTGGACCACTGTGAAATCAATCCCAAGGCTAACAGATAGAAAGTAGAAATCAATAAGGATAGCATACTATTCTGTTGACTGTGATGTGTGTTTTCTACGCGCCCCGCATGCTGCCCGCTCCGCCTTCCGAGCCAGGCCCAGCGGCGTGACTGTGGACTGAGAACTATTTTTGCTGCTCTGCAGTGACTTTGTAGTGAGTGATTTAGAGGCTCCGTGGTCTGGTTTCACTGCTCGCTCTCAAAGACAATGGAGCATGCATGTCATTTGAGTTGCTCTGGCGGATAGTTGATGGTCGCGAGGCTGCGAGGCAGATGACAGGATGTCTCTCGCACAAACATACACATGCACGCCACACACGTCAGTCCTCTCCCGTCCATGTCTGCTGCTGAGTCTTTTAGGCCTCAAGTGGTCATTAGTTGTTGTTAATGTTTCTGTATTTTTTTTTTCCAGATATAGGCTTAAAAAAAATTGAACGAAAAGGAAAACTTCCACAGGGTTTATGGAACTTAAGTTCCATTCATGAAGATCTGTAAACAAGAATTCCTGACGGATTGGGGAAATCCAATCCGTTAGTCCAAAATACTTTGATGTTTGACATTAAAGGCTAGATTTTTATTTTGCTTCGTGACTTATTCCCTACGCTGATATAGCTAGAGCCTCCTTCAAGGGTAAGCCGTTTCCAGTCTTTGTTTTCTTCAGAGTTTTTCATGTTTTCTTCCCTTCCTCTCAACACTGATTGTTTTTCTACAGAGCTGTCACCTGTCACAGGTTAATGTGAGTTGTTAAAAGTACACAGTAATGTCTACACAACATACCTACATGGTGAGAGTCTTACAAGAATATATGGTTGCTAATCTTTACACGCTTTGAACCATATCCAATAAAGGTAGGCAAATCCAGCCGACAGAAAGAGCTAAAGAAGAAATAAAGTTTTTAAGCCCCCACAAAACAGTTTCTTCTGTAGATCCTCTTATGGTTCAGTGCCGTCAGCAAGATATGTTTTCAGTGTTTATTTGTCTGCTTTTAAAAATACATTTTCTGTAGTGAAGATCTCCCTGGATGACATAAAAGTGTGGTGCCACAATAAATCACTTCCCTCAGAAGGCCGATAAATGAGTCTGGACCCCTTTCTTGACTACCGCTGTCGCCACTATTGTCGCACTGTCTGCAGTTTGTTCCCTTTACTCCGTCTCACCGTGACTTTCTCTGTCTTGTGCAGAGGAGCCGTTTTCAGATTTATGACGAGTACTGCGGGAATCATGAGAAGGCCCAGAGGCTGCTGCTGGAGCTCAATAAGATCAGGAGCGTCAGGACATGTTTGCTGGTGAGAATGCCCTTTAAATTGGTAAATCATCTGTAGGCTGATGCATGTGTATGTTTATAATGAATCGGCACAATCAAGCCGTAAGAAACTGATCTGTAAGTTCTAGTACGAGTAGCGGTGTGTGCAGTGTGTGCATCACAATATCAGAAAACACAAAAGACTTCCTGAGCAGCTGGAAACATCCACATGATAAGGTAAAGAATCTGAACGTACAGGTCACTTCTAAATCCCATTGTTCAAATGTAGACTTAAGGCTGCAGCCCAGTCAGACACAAACACACAGTCACCCACACACAGCAGCTGGACAGTGTCAAACTCTGTACTCCATGTTCCAGTGTGTCTGACAGCTGATGTGACTCTGCCCCATGCGTGGGTGGACTCCCTCTTCCTGTCCCGCCGCTCTTAGAAACTTTCACTTCCACAGGGGAGCGTGGTGTTGCCAGAACAAGGGATGACTACATCCACACTCCTGGCTCACGTTTAGGACGGAGAAAACCCTCACCTCTCCCTCCCCATTACTCGAAAGCTCTCCACTGCAAGAAGCTGATGCATATATTCATTTTCACTTTTAACCTTTATAATGGAGTTTAGGTTAGTTTGCATGCACATGATCACTTTTCCAAGTTAAAAGACTCCCATGAAACTGAAAAAAATTAGGTGTGCATCAGATGCACCAAATGATATAGAATACATGTGCGCCTACTTTAGACATCAGGGAAAGTTGTCAAATCACAACTAATGTCATCTTTGGGAGATAATCCAATAGGAGTTGCATTTATTATAATACAGTCATTTTTCTTTCAAATCCAACTGATTAAATTCTAGATAATTCAACTTCATATAGAGCCAATTAAAGCAAAAGTATTAAATGACTGGTTTACAGCTTTGAGCAGATTTTCTATCGTGGCCATTTTGGTCTCATGTTACCCTGCAAGCTACACCCCGCCATGTGTTGATTTACCTCAGGTCACCTCCTGGGCCCTGTGGTGGCCTGAGAGAGGATATCCACTCACCTCCAATAAACCTTTGGCCTGCTGACTGCTACAAAGTCTGTCTTAGTGTTTACATTGTAACTCAGGATCATCTCATCTAACTAACAGATGACAGGGGAGGTGAGAATGATAACTACCAGTTGACCTTGTTTTTTTAACCCACCACGGATAGGTTGGGGTCCCTTTGATCCCGTGAAGGTCAGTCACTGTTGGCTTTGGCCGGGATGTTTCCACAACTTGAATGTATGACCAAAGATTCACACTAAAATCTACACATTCTAAGAAGAAATAAACTTTTTTAGACTTAATTAAAAAAGAAAAATAAAACTGAAAATTTTCTATATGCTTAACATTCAATGTCAGCACTCAGGCTCTTCCCTCATCAAAAGGACGGTACAGATTTCATCCTTCCTTAGACTTTAGCTTCCTCCAACAGTTCTTTACAGAACTGTGTGCACGGACGCTGTGAAAACTGGAAGTTCATGGCCATAGCCAGTTCCCAGTGTCCTTTTTAATCATGAAAAGGCTACAGTGAAGCTCTGCAGTCTGACAGGGCATGTAAGGGAGACTGGCCTGCAGATTATATGGTTGCCTTTTGCTTCTCTTTGCGGGGGGGGGGGTATCAAAAGCAGAACTGGCTCTGAGGACGAGAGCGGAATGAGCACTTGAAGATTTTTTCTAATATAGAAGATTTAAGTTTTTGATCGCTACACAACTCAGCTGCTTGCTACAGAACTACTTGTTTCCGACATTTTTCTCCAGCTTTGTACATGCTGAGCCTGCTATGACTCACTGACAAACACAAACTCACTGACAGAGAAGCTAAAAACAAACCCTGCATCCAAGAAATCTTAAATCACAGTCAGTTACATCAGCCGTGTCCTGCTGAGCAGTCATGAAACGGGTGGACTGTTTGACTTTAACTCCAGCAAAAATGTTGTAATATGACATGTTTGAGTTACCTTCGAGTGATGTGTCTCTTGTGCATTTGTAAACTTCACTGGCGATGCCTGTCCTTCTTTTCAGCACATGTGACTGCAAATGTAAATAAAGATCCTACTTTTCCTATGTAGCATCTCAGTCACCTTCCTGTATCCACAATATTCTGCTCCTCAACTTCTCCCAAGTCATCAGAGTCATAATATGTGCTGCTGTAATTAGCAGTTAGTACCACTGCTAGCGGACACTGAAAGAATGGAATTCAACAGCTAATTAATAAAGTCCTGTGAAGCTCTTTACTAGAGGTGATGATTGCAGCAACACTCGGACTCTGGGTTTAACATAAAATTCTCTGATGATTCATTAAAAATGCCATGTTGGACTGCAGTTTTAGAATTACAGCTTCAGGAACCCTTTTAATGTTTGACTGACTCTCCTCTCCTCTAGAACTGCATGCTGCTGGGAGGCAGGAAAAACACAGAGGTCCCTCTTGAAGGTTACTTGGTTGCTCCTATTCAGAGGATTTGCAAGTACCCATTGCTTCTCAGAGTGAGTATGGCTAACCATGTCCTGTGGAACTACCGCAGTAAAGCGCCACTGTCGTACATCACCTTATGCCCCTTAGTCATTAGTTAGGCCTCTCCCTTACTAAATGAAACACTGGCCTCATATCCTGACACTGCTCTGCTTTAGCTTTGCGGCACAGCCATGCTGCAGGAATAACACAAGCCCTATCATCACCTCCCTGTGGCCTAGCTGTACGTACAGACACTCTGACTGGACTCATTCATACCTGCACTCCCAGTTTTTAGTTTAGACGTTTCCCTTTTCCAATGTGAAACACCAGTGAAATGCAATATGTTTTCAAAGGCTTGTTTGAGCTGGTGAGCTGAACTGTCCCATCTCATTTATCTTGTTATGATCTATTAATTCAGCCAGCCGTTCTCTAAGCAGCCACCAGTATGCGCCCAAAGATGTTAGAATAATAAGGGGGTAATCTGATGCTCTGCCACTTGAAGGCTTCCAGCTGCCAGGGCCTCCTCTTCCCAGTAAAGTGACACAGATAGCCATTGGTGGCAGCAGATATATCCAGAACGGTGTAAATCAGTCTTGTGGTATATGACATGTTGAAACACTGTAAGTTTAGACTATGAGATTCCAACCGCTTCAGCTTGAGTATTGCACACTAACACTAAACTCAAGAGTCGTGCTTGCCAGATGTCTTCTTACTCGTAAATACCCCTCAGTGGAGCAAGTGTGAATATGCTTATCTGTACAAATGTGTTTGTGACAGGAGCTGCTGAAGAGGACCCCCAAGAAGCACAACGACTATGCCCTGGTACAGGAGTCCCTGCAGGTGATGAAGGCTGTGTGCTCCAGCATCAACGAAGCCAAGAGACAGATGGAAAAGTTGGAGATTTTAGAAGAGTGGCAGTCCCACATAGAGGGCTGGGAGGTGGGCCTCAACGCCTTCATTATAATCCAGTTACTTTAAATACAGAGTTGGCTTCTTGCTTGTGTCATCATATTTTTTTCTGTCTTCTTATGTGCTTTTTCCACCGAAGCTGAAAGTCACGACTTATTTAAAGACACATAGCCCTACAAAAGCAAATTAAACTAAAATTGCAAATGGCCTGTCTTTTGTTGTACTTTAAGTAATTTGGCTTATACTCACGATGGGCAAATTCTTTCAGCATGGATGAATGTATAGTCTGAGCTGTCCTGCTCTGGGATGAGCGATCCAATCATTGCTGACCAGATTTCTCCTCTTGGTGTTAAGTTTAGCTTTTTTATTAGTTTTCCATTAGTTTTCTTTTTGAGGTGTAGGTTGCCTCAAGTAAGGCTTTGTGATGATGGGAAAGAGAGAGCATTACAAATTCTTGTAAGACACGAGGTTAAGATTCCAATGTAATTAACCTGGCTTCATTTAAAGCTGGCCTTAAGGCTTCTTGAATAAATTCAGACAAAGGGACACTGCCAGTGTATACACAGCCTCTGTGTAGATTCTGGATGGAGGACAGACTTTCAACCCACATATATGAAAGACAAGATACAGCAGTGTGTGATTAGGCTTCCTTCCATTACGACATCGTTTTTTAACATGTGCTGTCTTAAGGTCACTGATAATATCAGAGTGTTGCTACAGTGTTTGCAGGACATATTTTTGTTCTTCTGAGAAAAATTCAGAGCAGAAGCGTAAACAGCTGGACAGCTAAAGACCCATACTGAATCCATTAATATGACCAAGACACAAAAACAAAAAATGACCAAATTATTTCTTTAACTTCACTTTGAGTTTAAATGAAAGCATTTCAATCAATAGACAGATAAACAAACAGCTAAAAAATAAGAATAGTGCAATCAGAGTGAAGCTCAGTGCAGGGTGGGGTGACATCTTGTACTCAACATAGTCCTGGCTTGAGCTATTATGCGGTTTCCCCTCTGCACTTTTATTAATTATAAGCATTAGCTCATTCTGGTGCTGGACCTTCTGACTGCCAGGATCTGCAGTTCCAAATAGAATGGAACTAAAAATGAGGGAAGGGAGACTCAGAGAGGGAAAGGAGGAAGGGAATAAGAAGACTGAGTAATGGGTGCATTTTGTTTTTCTGTGCGGGTGTTTAGAAATGATGGAGCGATGAGGAGTGACTGGGAGATTTTCCCCTTCCTCTTTCGTTAGGGGCTTGTTAGAACTGAAGGGCTGGCCACCCTCAGGGGCTCCTGGCAGGTTTGCATGCATTGCGTGGGATGGACAGGGCGACGGCTCGAAGTGGTCACCATGGTGATGAACCGCCAGCTTTTGTCAGGGTAGTGAGTGCCAGATGGTTAGAGTTGCTTGTGTCTGTATTCTGTCACGGTGTACCATAGTAATGCTGTAATTTTAGACCAGAGGGTAGTAGTTTCCCATTGCTTTCTTTTCTCTGTGTGTGTTGTTGGCTTTGCTTGATCTGACTTCTTTAAATGCAAAAGAATTCCTATACTTTTTTTCAGGAATCATAGTTTGGCAGTGTTTGGCCAAAAAGTTGCAGAGCTGAATCTAGGATGAAAGATATTATATTAGGATAAAAAATGCTGCCTGGTCCAGCTTTGACTCGTATAGAATTAATTTGTAGTGTGACCGAAAAATGCTGCAAAGGAGTAGAAAACTTAAAAAAGGCTGCAGCGCATAAATGGGATGAGGCTGTGCAGTTAAAATTGCCATGAAACACAAAGAGGAAGGGTGGATCCTGCCATGAAGGAAATGCAACTTTATGGTCTGTATGTTGTGATATCGGCCCCTTCAATTGACCGAGACGAGTTTCTGACATGTGTGGTGGGCACCCATTCACTTGCTGCAAATTAGTTCAACATCTGGTCAAGGGAATGGAGAGAGTTGGAGTGTAAAATGAAGCATGGAGGAAGAAATTAAATAAACAGAGGAAAGGAGAAGGGAAAGAAAAGTGAGAACTGATCATAAGACGGGAAGGGTGGAGGAAGGGGCACAGAGAGCAAGAAGGAAAAAGCTCGAAAGGTTTTGGCCTGCTGATGTCTCCAGCAGGAGGAAATGCTTAGCACATTTTCCACCTCTGTGCACATGGGAGGTATTTTTAGCTCTGAGGGACTGATCAAACGGGGTACATAAATTCCCAGAGCAGCCAAGCTTGGGGAAAAGACAGCACACTTTATCACTGTGCAGCAGGAACCTCAACCAGCATGGTGACCAGACACGACAATGCAAAGCATAGTCTGACTGGACGGGATGTTATTCCGTAGAAGCTATTAACCACCCTGTGTTTTAAAGTCCCACAGCAATCTTCTCTGAGGAAACAGGGAGTGTTTTCACAGACCCCTGAGAGAGAGAACAGGAAAGGCTGGGCTCTGTAATCCCACCTCCTACTCAGATGCTCCATTTAAACAAGAGTGGTCAAGAAATGCTGAGCTAAAACCTTCTGAGTTGTCTATTAGATACATTGTATATTAGAAAACGTGCATTATGGTTGTTTAACAGTTTGATTTTTTGGAACACGATTCCTCCATGTGCCAACTACATGAAAGTTTCTCTTGTTGTCCTTCTGTTTGACCCCCATGTCCATCTCCAGGGCTCCAACATAACAGACACATGCACTGAGATGCTAATGCAGGGTGTCCTGCTGAAGATTTCAGCTGGGAACATTCAAGAGAGGAGTTTCTTCTTGTTTGACAAGCTTCTGGTCTATTGCAAAAAGAAAAACAGGTGAATTGATTTTTTTTGTTTAGTTTACATCCCGTGATGAATCTGTCCTCTTGTTAGGGTTTGTAGTTTTAGACAAGACAGAATAATCAAATAGTGTTCATGCTAATTCACAGTTTCCTCTTTGTGTGCAGTTCAGCAGAGCACAGGGTTTTATAAATTATTCAATCCAGCACTTCCTTTACTTTTTGTAAGAAAATTGACTCATGTTCCATGGGAAACATTTTAGATTTTTGTGTGTGGGAGTAGAAAGAAATGTTAGGAAAAAAAGGAAAGATGGTGATGGAGCACATAAGAAATAGATTTAGATGCTGGCGCTTTTTCAAAAAGACTTTTTAAAACCACAAATGTGTTTGATAATGCTAAGGACCTGATCTTTAGCAACATGTTACCTTCTCTGTAAAGGAACATTTTGATCAGCATGAGCTGAATCTGGAAACTTGCTGAATGCTAGATGCTTGTTTTTGGGATATATGTATTTTTTTTGTTTGCTGCACACTTGATGAATAAGCTTTTCTGGTCTGCCATGTGTTTTGATTTGCTTTAATGTGTTGCATTCTGTTTATCTGTATATTCTGTTTATAGTGCATATAAACAGATCCATTTTATTGAGCAAAATTATGAAAATTTCCCCCTCGCTCAAGATTCAAGTTACTCTTCTTAATCTGTTATATTTCCTTATTTGATGTATTCAGATCAGAGTGAGGAGTAACAACAGATGGTTGTGATTGTTCTCTCTGAAATTCCTAAATCTATCCCGAGGGTGGATTTTTCCACATCAAACACTAACATGGAAAGATTAAACCATGTTGGTTAATTCTGTGCTTGATTTCCTTGCTCTTCTTGTGGAAGGCGTTTGAAAAACAGCAAAACATCCACCGAGGGTCCTCGCTACCTGTTCAGAGGGAGGATCAACACTGAGGTGATGGAGGTCGAAAATGTCGACGACGGCACAGGTGAGCCGTGCAGTTTGCAGATATCTTTGACATAAAAGCAGTTTTTAACATCTACGGCTCCAAATCCTTGGGAATGTGCTGCCACAGCTGGCCCTTGGTGAACTTGTAGCCTTGTGTCTCTTGGCTCCACGCAGGCACTGATTATGATTTATATTTGCAGAAGCCATTCTTCCTTTCCAGCACACTTGGACGGGCAGTAATATTTGGTGTTTCTGGTGAGAGATGGATGGGTTTGGATCAAGGGTGAGAGCAGGAGAGGAGGATAAAAATGTGAAGCAGGCAGCAGTGCAGAAACTCGTGGGTGTTCTGCACCACAGGCAGGAGATCTCAATCTAAAATCCAGGGCGACAGGAGTATTTTAGCTTGGATTCCTGTGTAATGAAAGTGCCTCAACTTTTTTCCCAGGCACACACTCACTGCTTGAGGTTAAAACACGCCCTTGAGGCATTCCATAGAGAGGACACCACACTGTATGTGTATTTAGACATGATTATAATTGATGATTGTACTGGTTTGTTTTTTGTTACAGTCTCACTTAGAAAAGTCAAAAGTGAGCCAGGGAGAGATTTAGAATGTTCCCTAAATGGTGGAAATAACGATTTGAATATAGCTCATTTTAGGGGTTCTCGTCAGTTGCTGGAGGTTTTGACATTCTCAAAGTGCTCATGTCATGCTGAGCTCATGATTGTAATTGGTTAAGTCTACTAAAGGTAGTTTAAAAATCCTTCAACTCGAATAAAAACACGTAATTTGGTCAAAAAACATCTGATTGGTTAAATTGTTATGTAATTATTGGTCACCTTCGTCTACCTGCTCAGCAGGAAAAATCAAACACCCAGAATAAATCTAGAAAGCACATTGAAGTGGAGGGAAAAAAAGTGAAGGATGTCTCTTTAATCATCACCCATTTTCTCTGAGGGGTTATTCCGAGACCAGCAGCACTGCAGTTAAAAACTGTTAAGATAATCTTTCCTCTGCATGCATGCCCTTCATTTGTCTTATTGGAGAGCAAGAATGTTAATCAATCAGGCACCCAATGGGAGGTTTTAAGTTTGGCTGTAGCAGGGCTTGAAACACACGTTTGTAGCCAGTGTTTGCACAAAGAAGCAGAATGATGTTCCAAGCAAATTAAAAATGAAGGTTTGGGAATAACACACTCCACTGTAAGGAAGCCTTAATTCATCAAGAATGTCTGTTCTTGTCTGTCCTGTGATTTCATTTCTGAACGAGATGTAGTGTTGCTGTCAGAAGGTTTGTCGGTTTTGTTTTCGCTGAAGCAGTTAATTGGATTTGTGCCTCAGTGCTGTGTTTTATGCAGCAGCCCTTATTTACTGTGCACTCCACTTCCCAATGACTCTGTTTGCAGTGCGACCACAGACTGACAGCCTTTCAAACATGGAAAAAGTACTCTGAGCGTGCCTGACTCTTAAAAGGGGATTTGTGTTGTTCCACCCCTTGCAAAGAGAGGCCTTTATAAAATGTGTAGAGTCAAGATTGTTTCTGTCTGTGTGCTCTCCTCCTCTGCCCCACAGCTGACTACCACAGCAGTGGGAACATTGTGAACAACGGTTGGAAGATCCACAACACGGCCAAGAACAAGTGGTTCGTCTGCATGGCCAAGACCCCAGAGGAGAAACAGGAGTGGCTGGAAGCCATCATGAAAGAGAGGGAGAGGAGGAAAAGTAAGAGACATAAGTTGGTTCGCTTTTAATGGAAACATTGAGGGAAACATAACAGTATTAAACTGCTAAAAATATACTCTATATTGTGTTTGGGAAGATCAATACTTAGTCTGAAAACTGGAATGATAAGTAGGAGGGATTTACATGGCAAAGTCAGCATGCAGTCGATCTCTGTTTCACTCGTTATTTATTCATGTCCGATGTTAACTGCACCTAAGACTGCCAGGACAGACACTGCGAGAAACTGCTAATTATCTTAGCAATTAGAAGACATTTCCTAGTTCGACTAATGAATAGCCCGGGGCCAGGAGCTGAATGTTAATGCTGTAATACTGACAGGCAATTTGCACCCTCCAATTCCTCTATTTCCACACAGGTCTGAGGCTTGGCATGGAGCAGGACACGTGGGTGATGGTCTCAGAGAAAGGGGAGAAACTCTACCACCTTATGACCAAAGGGAATCTCATTAAGGACCGGAAACGCAAGCTCACCACTTTTCCCAAGTGCTTCCTGGGAAGGTGAGGCTCCTGCCACCAATCCTGACAGTTTGGTTTGAAAACAAATGAGCGTTCAAATCCTGTGGTTGTGTCTGTGTTCCGTCAGAGCTGGATGACTGTAGCTTGACCTCTTTGGGGAGACTGAAATGAAATAGCGAAAATCCCGTCTGTATGCTTGCACTTTAAAGGTTTGCATGGCTTCGTAGATGATTTTAAAACAGACATGGTTCAGCATATAGAGTGACAAAGGGTAGAGTCCTTTTTTACATAGGGAACGAATTTTAAAGTGTAGCAGCTGGGAAGGAAAAAAGAAAGCACATGTTCAGGAGAGTCTTTGTATATCTGCAGACTCAGTCATGGGAAAATTAAATCCAGCCGGATTTATCCTATGAATCTTATTTAAGGATTATTGGTGTAGTGTCTGGGGAAGAATCGGCTATTGAATGCCAGTCGTAAATCACAGGGAGATATCCCCGTGCGGCTCAGCTGACTGCCCGCCTTCTCCCTCACCCATGTTAGATTACAATAAGCTCTCTGCTTAGGAATCCATGAGGTAACTACTGTCAGAGTTAGCCAAAGGTGGCTACACACATGAATTTGTTTGAATTTGATTATGCCTGTCCACCATCAATTTGAGAAAAGCAGAAAATGAGCTTTGCTCAAAATCCTTTACACTATTAGAATAATATAGGAAGTGATGCTTCCTTTTCAGTTGTTTTCATTATGCAAGATATAGATATCATGTTTGTTTTCCTGTTTTCTTTTTTGTGTGTGCTGATACATAACAAAAATATAGCTCTGAAGCGGTTCGGGGAGCACTCACAGTATGCAGTCTTCTTAAAAATCAGATCCATTTTGCCTCACAGTGTGCGTTTCCCACACTGTGGGCCAAAATGGAAAGCAGACCCTGTGAGAATGAGAAGGTGACAGAGCAAACGATAATAAAATTTACAAACATTTGGCTGCAGCTATGAAATTAGAAACATATGGAATAATAAAGGGATTTGAACTGAAGATGTTCTATTACCCAAAAAGCCACATTTCTGGTTTAAGACTGTCTAACCTGTTTATCCTGTCTGTCTTTTTTGTATCATGCGTCTCTATATATTTCAAGAACTGTTTTCTACATTTTTAAACGGATATTTTGACTCGTAATAGTCACAATGAAAATGGCAAACGTGTAAACAATTCTGTTGAAATCCCTGTTATTTTTAAAAGCCTGACGAAAAAAAAAATAAAATCAACCAAAAGTTCCAATTGGACATAGTTGTGGCCCAGTAACATGGCATGGCGGTTTGGAAAGAAGAGCTACATTCTCCTGAGCTCCAAGCAGACAACACCAGATCCCTTGTGGTCTGGAGAAGGAATGGGTCTGTCAGCTGAAAAGATTAAAAGGATCAAATGCTAGTCATATGTGGTCGTCTCAATGAGTCTGCAGAGATCAAGTGGTGAGAAAGCTACTCAGAGAAGCTCCCCCTGGAAACCTACCCCTTAAATACCGCACCTGGATGACCACTTGTGGGTAAAAAGACATCTTCTGGCCCCTCTGTACTTCCCCGGCCTGCGATGATTTTGGAGGTGATTGCACGTAGGCGTAATTGTTGAATGAGAAACAGCATCGTATGTCTCTGATGAGAACCACATTGCCCGCAGCTTACTCTGAGCCCACTCCTCCCATTGTGAAACGCCTTGCCTTTATTCTCCTGGAACTCCTCCTCGTATTTTGCTTTTTGTTTCAGGCTTTGAGCTATTTTTGCTCACGCGACTCCTCCTCCCTTCCAATGGCACAATCTCATTTGCGGTTTGTTGTCTGAAACAGAGTAATTCATCAAAAGAAATGTGTGTGACAGCCACCCAGCCAGATGTTCTAAGTCTCCTTTTAACCTGAAAAAAAAACGAAAAAGAAGAAAAACAAAAATGTATCTGTACATGGCAGACACCGGTGTCATCTTGTCATGACGGATGCTGGGGGTCTGCAGCCCCCCTGCGACCCTACTAGAATAAGCGGTATAGATGATGGAAGCATGTGGAACTCACGGTATCACTGAAAATCCAAGCTGTAGTTTGACCGTTTGGATAGTTTTCTTCTAGATGAGAATTGAAAGAGCAGGCTTTGATTAAAAGTGAAACTACAGTTACCATTAGTCTTTAGCGCCTCCCATCATTTCTGAAAGCAGTGACCAGTTGAGAAAAGAAACTACATATTGTGACGATGCCGTTAAATGGATCAGGCCAGTTTTGTCTGTTTTTTCTATGAGAAATGCTCCTTTTGGCTCAGCTGTGACTCCAGACTGCCTCCATCTTGGCCTGGAAGTGAATTCCAGGGAATTCCAATGGAGCTGCTGGGTGTGTTTGTTTGACTCCTGTGGGGAGACAGGACATCAGGGGTGCAGTCAGATAGACCACTGCTGTGTTCACCAGCTCGCCTTTGTCCTTTCTCTCTCCTTTCTCTCTCTCTCTGTCAGTCTCATTTTTTTTACTCTGAAACATTAAATAACTGGGAATTAACCCATTTACCTCATTTGGGCCTTTAAAGCATGCAGAGCTGTATGTTGGCTCTTGTGGTTGGTTTGTTTCCCTTTTTCTTGTGTTTCCCTTCAAGAAATTCCCAAGATCTAATTTAATCCATTGTGTTTGCTTGTGTTTTACTGTGAGTCTAAAATAAATGAAACGGAACGAGACAAAACACAAGAACTGAAGCCCGATGGTTGTTTTACCAAACAAACCTAACTATAAACAGTAAATAGATCATTCTTCTGCCAATACACTACCACTTGCCACAACAATCATATCAGTTTGGAGTAAATGTTGTTTATAGAGGGTTATAAAGTCTGTCTGGTCTCCTGTCTTCTTCCCTCTCAGAGGTCACAACGGGTACATCTGAAGCTTTTCCACTAAGTACGCTTATCGTCTATTAGCTCCCATGAGAGATGTTTCACATATTTTGCCTTGCTGTTTGTGAGTGGGCAAGTGTGTAGCGACGCCTGTTATGTTTGTATTTTGTGTTTTCTCCAGTGAGTTTGTGTCCTGGCTGATGGAAATTGGTGAGACGGACAACCCAGAGGAGGGGGTTCATCTGGGCCAGGCGCTGCTGGAGAATGGCATCATCCACCACGGTTTGTTCTTCCTTTTCTTGCACTCAGACCTGCTTTGTTATCCTCTTGTGTTCCCCATCTAAAACCAAATCTGCCACAGTGGGATCCGCTTTGTGCTGCACAGTGTGGAGCTTACAACGGCCTGCCGCTGCTTAACCTAACCACCAGCTACTTTGGAAGAAAGTACTTATCGCTTGAACCAGCAGAGTTTCTCAGTGCTCTCTTTCCTTTGCTGAAGCCTGCAGTGTAGAAGCAGCTGTTTTATTTATGTCTTAGCAGGTGTTCCATTTAAACACTCCTTTGACACAAGGTTTAGGTAAGGGATTATGAATGCTAATCTCCTCTTGTCTTGATGTTTGTGTAATATTTTCTCAGTTTATGTTCCATGGTGTTATGTCACAAACGTTTTGCTTTGAATGCACGAGGCTTAAGCTGGCTGATATCCCTGCATTCAAACTCGATGGTGCATGCTGCTTTGCATGTGTTTTTTTTTTCATGAAAAAAGTAGCGCCCCAAGTCAGGTTGTAACTTAAATCACTCTGGGGCACTTTATGGCTTCCTGGCTGAGAAATGAGATTGGGCCTTCGGGCCGCCCCTGACAGAGAGGAATAACTCCGAGCCCCTCTGAGCTCACTCAGAGCTGTCAGACGTCCGCTATGAGAAAAAAAGATAGAATATCTTTTCATAACAGCCCGTAATGGAACTTTCATGGTGGTAGCAAAGAATACAGAGCCAACTTTTATTACTGCAAGAGGGTCTATGTAAAAATCCCCCTAAAGCGAGTGAATGGAGCTCATGAGCAGCTGTGTTGTGTTCGCTGGCCCTGTTTGATGTGGGAGTCTTCCTCATGTCATCTTATTTCTTTGCTCAGCTCTGCTTTGCTAGAATATATTTATAACCCTGTTATACTTTCAAATTTAAAGCCAGACAAATAATTCTCCCAAGAGTTTTTCCCCTCTTCTTGCTCACTGACTCTGGCAGGACTGTCAGCCTCCTCACTTTTTTTTTTCTCCAGTCACAGACAAGCACCAGTTCAAGCCTGAGCCGGTGTTGTACCGCTTCCGCTACGACGATGGCACCTACCACCCCAGAAGTGACATGCATGATGTTATTTCCAAGGTAAAACACGTACAGACTCAATTAAAATTTCTTCTCAAACACACATATGCCTGACATGACATACTATACTTTTCTTGTTTCCTCAGGGAGTTCGACTGTTCTGCCGTCTTCATAGCCTTTTTACTCCCGTCGTCAGGTACGCTTTTACTTCTTTACAACAAGGTGGAATGCCAGGAACCTGTCATCCAGTATTTGTGCCTTAAAAACGACACTCCCACAGAGCAGCCAGACTTAAGGACAGAAGCATCAGCCTCAACTATGAGCTCATTGTTTTCAAAGAGAAACTGACTGATGAGGAGTTAGCACAGATGGTGATAGTGTGGATGATTGAGTCTGGCAGGTTTCATCTGCTCTGTCTCAAGACACAGGAGTTTATCTGATGCTGAGCTGCTCACAGTACAGTCAGAGGTAGAAAGGACTTCAAGTAAAACTATACGTCTTCCTGATTAACATTTAAAATGAGCGGGTTAAAAATGTACCCGGAGTCCAAATGATATTCAAAGCATGGACAGGAAGATACAGGGTGTCCTGTCGGAGCTGTCGTACTCACACTGTGAATGTTTAAAAGTTTTAATTCAAAGAGGAAACTTGATTTGCTTCCCTGATGATAAGAAATTGACTTATTGCCTTTGTTTAAGAAATTATGTTATCACCTTCTAACCTTTTTCATTTTTTAACGAGGTCAAATTATACCATGAAGGGACAGCAAGAGGAGGAAATATTATATTTCCAAATCATTGTTACCATTTTAGAACCATTTAAGATGAAGATAGGATGATAACTTTGTCAATTTCACACCTTCAAAATACCATCAGTTCATTGGTGTTTGTTTTCCAAAACTTTTCACGTTTTAACGCTTGTTGGTGCAATGAAGTTGTTTTGTGCTGTGCAAGCTTACATGTGCAGTGTGCCCTCACTGAAAGCTTTGCACAATGCATCAGAGGTCCCAGGAATGCCAGAGTTTAATTGGAGCAACCAGTCCCAGCCTAATTAGGTGGAATTTCCTGGCAAAGTAAGAGGGATGAGGCAGAAGGGGATGCCATGCAGCCCCCACACCTCTGTGCAGCTTGTATAACCCTCTCTGCAGTCCTGAAACCATTTCAGAGGCTCTGGCTGCATAGTTCCAAATATCTGCTATAGACTTTTTAGAATTTGTGTAGAGAAGCTCTGAATATACAACAATGTTCACCTGTAGTCTATTTTAAGACAGAATGGTGAAAAAAAAGTTTCTGTTCCGTATTTGAGTGTTTTTTTCATTATGATGATGAATTCTCCAGAAAGTCAAGATTTATGCGTAACAATTCCCTAATGAAAACGTTATACAGTAACGTATTGCTCAGTAATTTATCACGGCTGAGTAGCTGATTAAAGCTTGAACTTTTTTGCTTCCTCTGCATGATTTATTTTAAAAGTTTGCTCTGAAAATATGGTTGCATGCAATTGCCCAAAAACCCCTCTCACAAAATGTCATAGCAAACTTTCCTCCACAGACAGCCAGTTAAAAGCCACCTTTCTGACCTTTCCCTCTGTTCCTCCACAAGCTGCTGTTTCCCAAACCCCGACATATGGCTGCCCACTGGGCTGCTGTATACCTCCCATTTTTCACTCTGACAGCCTCACTTTGCGCCAGCCGTTGAAGCCTCAGTCCCCCTGGCTCTTGGTATCCCATTCAGGAGAAAGGCCGGGGGGCCTCCTCCGTCTCAGTCCGGTCCAACTTGTTCCTGCATAGCGTGGCAGGATATCAGGCATAATCAACTCTACCGTCCCCTCTGAGACAAGCACAGGCTGTGAGATGCGCTTTCGCAACAGAGAATATCATTGAGAAGGAAACAGGGCAGCATTCACCCTCTATTGCGAGCGCCACACAGCTGAGATCAGACTTCAGCTTGGCCCACAAGCCTCGTTTGACTCGTCTGGGCTGTGTGTTTGTGTGTTGGAGAGTGTGTACGTGTGTCTGAGTGTTTGCATGTGGTGGGGTGGTGGAAGTCACGGTGGTTCAGGACTTTCCGGCCCTGCAGCTCAGCCTCTGCGTGTCCCCTGGGAGGCCCCTACGTTCATGGGAAAGTCACTGCTCCATTTCAAACGGCATTTTCGGGGTCTGGCAAATGTGGCCGTGTGGGTAACACAGAGAACAGCAACACCAAACCAGCCCGCTCTGAGGAATGCTGGCTTGCTGTCGCCAAACTTTAGGAACTCACTTAGACATATGACACAACAGCCAGCCGCGCTTCGCTGACAGTCGGAGTTATTAGTCCTTCTTTAGGCATTGTGCTTATATAGACCGAGCAATTACCGCTGTACAAGTTCACTACTAGTTCATCACAATGAAAGCACACAGTAAAAACAACTCAAATATTGTTACAATCCTTCCTTTATTTTTGTCTTATTCAGGGATAAAGACTATCACTTGAGGACCTACAAGTCAGTTGTCATGGCCAACAAGCTGATTGACTGGCTTATAGCACAGGTAAGCATTTAAATGGCACTAACTTTGCACAGTCACAACAACAGTGTTCATGTCTGTTTCAAAAGGGAATTAGATTTTATGACCTTTGCCCACATAAATATAACAGACGTTGTAACAAACAGCAACAAGATGAGCTGTTGAATTTGATGATGCTGTTTCTGATTTTAGCAATAACAATACATGTTCAACTTCAGTGAACTGGCACATAGATACATCATTTCCATTAGGAAATAATCCTACTATGATATTGATTTCTTCTTTGTAAAATCTAATTTTTTACATGTTGTTCTAAATCATGCCTGCTGGTTTTTGACCATATTGGAAACAGATTTGTGCAAGAAAGCAAGAAGGAAAGAAAGGGAGGGAGGGCGATGGAAGCAGCTGTTGTCAGAACAGGTCGGTCACTTCAAATGTGCAACAGAGAAAAGAAGCTCTCACTAAAGCCAAGAGGAAATGGAGGAAGAAAAGCAGAATTGATAGTACGACTAAGCTTTATTGACTCTGACAGGCGGCTTTGAGGTTGAAAGATTGATATTCCAGTTCAGGATGAGAAAGAAATTAAACCTACATGGTGGCCACAAATGAATTAAAGCAGGTATTGCAAGGTTGGGTCCGCCTGTTAGTACAAGTGGGTGTTTGCAGGTCAGTGTAAACTCTCTTTAGTGGGACCTCAAGAGCTGTGACTCCATACAGTCTAGATGTGATTTTAGCAGTGTTTAAGGCAGAGCATGGAGGAGTTCCGCTGGCCTCAGGGCATTTGGACGAAGGAACAAAGGAAGGTTGTAAGTGTGTCATCTCGAATGTTCACTAAAAAGCACGCCGTTTCCTTTGATCTGGTTTTCTTTCTCTTATGAAAAATATATTTAGCTTCTTTCCCCTATTCATCAGTTACTCTATCCGTCCTTAAATCTATCTTATTTCTCTTTTGTGTCCACTCTTTCTCCTTTCCTCTGCAGGGCGACTGCAGAACAAGAGAGGAGGCGCTGATCTTAGGGGTTGAGCTGTGCGACAACGGCTTCATGCATCATGGTACGGCGCTTTTCTCCGCTTATTTCAGCAGACCAGAGGAAGTTCTGATCTTGCTGAACCATGAAATCCACTCCATCATAGGCCCAATGAAAGCTGCAGTGCTTTGGGGGAACTTGGGGCGCCTGGTATTTAGCACACAACCATTCTTATTCTTTTTCCATTTCTATTCATAATCCCTTTGACATGCAGCAAAAATAGAACCAATTCTTTCCATTCCAATGAATAAATTAGTGCATCTATGGTTCTATTCATGCATACGATCATTAACTCCATCCGTACTGTCATGCATACATATGTCTAAATTAACAAAGTGCTGGCTGCCTGCATGATCTGCTGTAGCTTTGAAAACTTGGCCAGTGACACATGAGTGTTTGTCAGTTTTTCAAATCAAAATGGACAGTAGTCATAGTTACTGTTTGTCTATGAGGGGATGATTTGTTTTTAACTCCATGCCTCCTTTGTGCCAAAGTCCACATCACACAGACTACAGTATGAGTCACAGCGTGTCTCCTTGTACCCTCATGATGTAACTGCTCCTAACTGCCCACAGTTCAGGGCTCACACTACAAATTACCAGCACATCTATAGAGCATTACAGCCTCAGCCATCAACTTTCCTTTCACTTCCTCAGCCTGCTGGGTAATTTTGCCATTCGTGCCTGTAAGTTATTTGGCCTGATGATGAGGCTATTAAAACTATTGGCGCTATATCTGATCTTCAGGGGAATGAAAAGAAAGAATGTTTGAAGGAAGCTCTTGTTTTTGCCCTCAGGGCTGTTTTTATTTTAGAACTAAAGTCTTGGTGGACATGTTGTGTTGCCGCAGCGACTGGGTTCGTCCAAAAGTGAACTTTCTTCATATTATGTTTTCCTCTCTCCAAAACTCTTTGGAAGTTTGCATTTTTTCAATAAATATGTTTTTTGTGATAGATGTCCTTTGGGAGCCTGCATTCGTCATCAGGCACTGCTACGTTAATATTTTGTAGGGGTTTAAAATTCTAAATACAATGTGGCTTATTGCCACATATATTATTCTTGGGTTTCAAGCATTGAAATAATAAATAATCAAATAATAAATCAATAATTATCAACAAAAACATCCAATTGACAAAAGGTTATACCATGATCTTAACCTTTGAATGAATGGTTACAATAACACAGTTACATTTGCCCCTGTATGGTTTACATTATACAATTAATTTTTACAAACATGGTAGCAGGCATATTCATGCTGCAGCCTTTTCCATATGAAGTTGTCCCTATCGGCCCGTAAAAAAATGTCCTTGTTCACTGAGCTCTGTTCCTGTTTGGTAAGACTCGCAGACCAAACAGGAAAGACTCAGCAACACATCAAGACAGCTGTGCACAATCGGCTGAAAACACTATTTTTGATAAAGCTGATTATTCAGTATATTTACTTATACTCTTTGTTCTTCTTTGTTGTTTCCCTCAGTGTTAGAGAAAAGTGAGTTCAAGGATGAACCTTTACTTTTCCGTTTCTTTGCTGATGAGGAGATGGAGGGATCCAACACCAAATACAAACCTATGAAGCATGACCTGAAAATAGTGGAGAATGTCATTACAAAGTCTCTCCTGGTGAGTTCTCCTTGACTGATTTATTCTTTCTATCTACCATGCTAAGATTTGCTATAACCTGCCCATATCTTAGATCAAACTGAAAGCACAGTATATCATCATGAGGAGCACAGCTGGGAAAAAGAAAAGTGATAACCTTGCAAAAGTCCATTTTATTCATCAGAGCCAAATCCTAGTGTGTGCTGTCTGTCTGCATCAGCATCTCCTGGTGTGTGTGTGTGTGTGTGCGTGTGTGTATGACTTTGTGTTTGTGCTCTGTTAAAGTCTGTCAGTCAGCTGGCATGGAATTTTGCTGATGCGAAACGTTTTTTTCCAGATAAGGCCAAGTGATGGAGGCTATGGCTTCACCCTGGAAGAGAAAAACCGTGTCCCCATGATCAAATCTGTGGAGAAGGGCTCCCCAGCAGAGGTGAGATGAAAGGAGAAGGTATTTGGACAATGCTAATGTTTAGAGGGAGCGTGGCTGGCTGAATAGGTGAAAGTAGAAAATGTTGGCAGCACACCTGATGGACAAGTAGGTGACATTAGCTAAAGTGATCCCTGGACATTAAGCAGTGCTGGCTGAATCAGATACACGGTCACATGCAGAGGAACATGGGTGGGCCAGCTGGCCATAGAGGGTTAAATGGAACTGTTTCCTCAATTTCCTGAAAGAGTTAATGGTGTTAATGGTGTCCTTTAGCAACAGCAACAAAAGAAACAAATCTGAAAATGCCGTAAGTGCCTTTTATCTAATCAGACATTCTTTGGGTTTCTTTTAAAAAGAACATGAATTCCTTTTTATTTGTAGCACCAAATCACACAGCAGATATCACACAGTCCAATTCAAGACAATTAGAATCAATTTATTGTAATGCAATCATATTTCAACCAATTTCAGTGCATTAGATTTTAAATGCATCCAATTCATGCAGGGCAAATTACAGAAAGCTGATGTTTTAATGTTCCAATAATCTTATGCTTCACCCTAAATTGTATGGTAGAATTGGACCTTAACTATACAAAGGGAAACATTTTGGATTGAAAAAAGGAAACAATTTGTGTTACTTAACATTTAACAGATAATGTTTTTTAAGGAACTGGAAGCAAAGTGACTAATCTGAGAGGTCTGGTTTTGTTTTAGTTATGATGCTCTGCAAAATTCAGTTGTTTTTTTGTTTTTTTGTATGGCTTTGTTATGTGAAATGAAATATAAAAACGTCAGGCACCATGCTTCCAAAGCAATCAGCTTCAAAGCATTTTCGTTCAGAAATAAACTGTAATGATGTGCGCCGTATGTTTGGTGTCTCCTGCAGTTAGTATCTGTTCGCTGAAAATGGCACAGAGAGTTTTTTGGGGCAAGTGTCATCCATTTGAGCCCATGACCCATAATTCCCTCCAGTCACAAAGATGCATTGAATGAGACTGAAAGGTCTGGCTTGAATAGACTGTCATTGTGCGTCTATATTTTTGAATATTCAATCTGGGATGTTGAAACCCACAACAGGATCCAGCTGTACACTGACCGACAAAGTTTTCCCATTTGGGACCTATTAGTGGAAATGTATGGGTTCTTGTTTGTGATGTATGTAGATGGTATTGGTGATCCTTATTCCAAAAATGTCAAGATTAATATTTCATCAAAATCGTCTCTGTCTATTGAACTTTATCCTTTTTTCAATTAAGCCTTTCATTCTGTTCTCTCTTTTAAGATGGCTGGCCTGGAAGTCGGGAAGAAGTTGTTTGCTGTAAATGGGGACCTGGTGTTCCTCAGGCCTTTCTCTGAAGTGGAAATTCTCCTCAGGCAATGCTTCAACAGCAAGGGCCCTCTTAGGGTGTTGGTTAGCACCAAGCCAAGAGAGTAAGACTTATCTTTATGTCTGCACACATAAAGATCTAACTGCCTGAATTGCTGATTACATTTCCCATTCTTCAACTTCCCAGGACAGTAAAGATCCCAGATTCCGTTGATGGTCTGGGTTTTCAGATTCGTGGGTTTGGGCCCTCTGTGGTCCATGCTGTTGGAAGAGGTAAGAGATAGCTGTCCGGCTTCATCAGTGAAAAGGTCTCCCTTAAGTTCTCTGTTATTGCTGCACAGCTGGCAAGCAGCTGCTAGAACAATCTTTGTAGATGGTTGGGAGTTCTCTGTGCATGATCTGGTCAAAATGATTTCCATACACCTATTCCTATTTTCTTTTCTATTTTAACATAAGCCTTCTATATTTTTGGTTTGCATTGATGAGTCCTTTTTCTCCCTCCCCTTGCCTAATGATTTGTGCTTTGTAGAACTGCTATCAGGGCTGGCACAAGATACGGTCCAATCAAAAAACAATCCATAGCCTTGTCTGGCTGTTCTCTGGGGAATTGAATCTTGTTTTTGTATGACAGAAGGATTGAGAAGTGCTGGGCATTTCCCTGCATACAGGTCTGTAAATCTTGACCTTATGCTGTTGTTGCCTGGAAACCTGTTGAGTTGAAGTGGATGCGTTTATCCTCAGAGAAAAAGCTCATGATGTTTGAGGGGTCTAATCCTTCGGATTGTCGTGGCCTCTTTTGTCACTTGAGGTCTGAGGTCAGCACAAGCGGGTAATAACCATTAAAAGAGAAAGAGTTAAAATAAAGTAAAGAGAGTTGTTATATAGTGAACTGTTTATTGAAAATTCCCATTGCTTTTCGAGATTTTATGTCCTCTTAGCTTGTCACTTCTGCTGCGTACACGTTTTATGAAGTTTTATTGCTTTTCAAATAGGGGCATCGATAATTTTTCTTTCCTTCCATTTTTAATTCCATGCATGCCATTGTCAACAAACTAATATATTTCAGTGTTTTCTATTTAAAATTTCTATCATTGAAGTAGCCTTTTTTAAGACATTTTCTGGTAAGTATCAGATATCACTTCGGCCCTTTTTCCAAGCTATCGTCTTGGTTTTTGTTTGACCATATTTTATAACTGTTAGTCAGTTACTAATCATGGCTGAAACCAAAGAGCTAACTATGGACCTATGCCTGCACATTGTGGTGTCTCACAAGACGTGAATAAGGTTATAAAGCCATATCCCAGTTCTCTTTTGAGGGAGAGTGCCAGTGGCCACAGTTCAACGCATAATCAAAAAGTACAAGGAGCTCCACTATGTGAAAAATCTCTAAGGGTTTGAAGTTAAGCCAGTTGGACGCCTGTTAAACATCAGTTTAAGAATAATATGTTGCTATCATGAAGTTAGCATGTAGGCTGCAGCACTGCCAGCCGTGAATGGAGCATCAGACCACGGTTAGCATGCCGTCAGCATCCTCTTTAGCCATCCTCCATGAAATTATAAAGAACCCTTTAGATTTGGTTTACCAGATATTTTTTTACAAGAAGAAACCTACCTGAGAGCTATTTATGATAATCCATTACCTTTATTTGCTTATGCTTTCAAGAAATCACAGGGGTTGAGGGATTAAGCAGGCGCCTTTACAATACTTATTTGGACTGTTTGGACGACTGTTTTGTTATAAGCAGCGTTTTTTTTTCATTTGTAGGTCTGAGTTCTGAGAAAGTGCAACTGAGGGATTTAGACATTTACATTTTGTCCTCAGGACTACAGATTATTCACATTACAATGTGAGATATGCACCATAAGTTATTTAAAGCTATGAAAACAAATGGGAGAACTATTTAGTCTACAGTGCCATTTCTTCTGATAACTGTAAACCTCAAAATTCTGCTATGGTCAAAATTACGTCCCTCAGAGAGGCCCCCGTCTAGCCAGACAAACAACTTCCCTCCTCAGCACACCACTCCCTTTCTCACACTCCTTCTGAGCTGCTAAAAACAGGAAGCAAAGATGTAAATATAAAAAAAAAGAAAACAGAGGGAAGGCTGCTCAGCTCAGTTTTGTGTACAGGATGTGGAAAATGTGACAAGTGTTGTTATAGGATGCGCTTGTGCTTTTTCATCCTGTTTCAGCCTGCACCTGCATGGTAATGCACGCCACATCTTGCCCTTGACAGTCCTCCATTCTCTCTGCATGCCTGTCTGTCTCCCGCCAGGCACTGTGGCAGCCACCGCCGGTCTCCACCCGGGCCAGTGCATCATCAAGGTGAACGGCATCAATGTGAGCAAAGAGAGCCATGCCAGTGTGATCGCCCATGTCACGGCGTGCAGGAAGTACAGGCGACCGACACAGGTGGGGCAGGAGGACAAGACAGCAACAGAACGTTTTCTATGTTTTTCCTCTTCCTGACCACGAAGAGGGGTACAACCAAAGTTTTTTTATAGACCCAATTTTACACTTACAGCTTGTGTAGGTATGTTAAACGTCATGCTGGTTAATTTGGTGTGGTATATGATGGTAGCAATGAGAGAAGAAACCTCAGAGATTAAGCGCTGAAAAAAGGACTAAAGATTAAAAGAAAGCAGTCAGGCATCCCAGCTCCCGTTTACCATCACTTCTCTCTTTAACTCCAGCTTTCCATCTCTTGGGTCATTACACTGAAATAATAGTAGTTTTGGCTCCTCCAGCCGTGACCCCTTGCTCATAGTGGCTGGCTTGTTGTGGGAGACTGGTAGACTGCAGAGCGAAGTGGGAAAAGATCTGGAGGTGGCTGAAGAAACAAGGGGGTGGTAGGCCAGACGTTTTTTCTTAGTCTGGGAGAATAGTTGACAGCAGAAGACTGTAGGAGGCGAGAGCATGCACAGACCACCTGTTTAAGGTGGGAAATGATGGAAAATAGCAACCTCGGGGTGTAGGTAAAGGGTTAGTTAGTGTGGCGTGTCATTATAATGGAGCTCCAGCCGTACCTCAAGCTTAATGATGCACCACAGTGTTCCAAAACTACTGGAGTTCTGGTTTAAATCGTGTTTGGACACAAAGGACCCACCCTCTCTTTCTTATTCTCACTGTGTTTGTGGGATTGTACATAGGAAGACCACAGACTAAGCAGGTTCAGCATGTGGCCTTGGCAGAGACCTCTGTGTGGGTTTGGGTGTGGAGATGCACAGATACAGTACACACACACACACAGGCCTGTCAGGCATGTTAGAATAATTTGATGAGATTGGCATGGATTTGCTTTTGTGGTCTCACCAAGTACCACGTCTCCATATGTTTGTGAAGGCTTTTTCACCGTACGCTCTGCCAACCCAACTGGGACACAGAACACCGTCTCTGGACAGAATCAACTGAACATGCTGCAACAGCCTCTGCCCGTGTGCACACATGGACACAACCAGTGTGTTCATGTGATTTAAAACCTCATGTGATGCAGGGATAGGAGTGACGTTCTTATTTCGGGGGATATTTGTTCCATCATTTTACATTTATGATAAAAAAAGACATTTTATTAACTGCTGATCAAGGTTTACGTAACGATTAGTTCACGTTTTGAAACTTTTCTTCAGTCTTAATGAAGCATAACATTTCTGTTTAATTTAAATGTTCTAAAAGCAATCCTCTCTTGGATTATTCATGCAGCAAGACACCATTAAGTGGGTCTACAACAACAACGAGAGTGCACAGGACGACAAGCAAAGAACTAACCAGAAACCTAGCCCCGAGGAGAATGGAGATGGCTTTGAGTGCAAAGTAGAAGGTGACTACACACAAACACCTAAGCACATTCACCAACTGCATAGAAATGTCTAATTTGGGAAAAGAAATTATGCTGAAGGTGCCAATGAATGTGGGGACTGAGTAACAGCTCCCAACAGGCTCCTCTGGAATATGTTAGCGTTACAACAGCCGTCTTCTCTGGCTCATCAAGCGTTAATTTCCCCCACCAATTTATAGATCCCAATGAGAAAGTAAAACAGGAAAGCTCTTCCCCTCACAGCAAAACAGCTCCACAGTGCAATTTATTGCCATATTAAGTCATTGCGTTAGCAAGGGGCTGGTTAAATTTAGTGCTCTTGAAGTTGCTCATCATTTTCAGCTGAGGAGGGAAGAGGAAAGCCACGAGCAAAGGGTCTTTCTCTGAAATTGTGTTCAGATTTGGTGGTCTGAGGCCCCCTCAGTGCCAAGTGGGGTGATGAAAACACTGGCAAGACTCCAGCTGCAAATCCCAGAATGCATGCATGTGTGATTCCTTATTTACAAACAAGTCAAAAGAAATATGTGACACATATGTTTTTGTGTATTCTCCACCCTCAGAGGTGATGGACAAATTCAACACTATTGCCATCATTGATGGGAAGAAGGACTATGTGAGTCTGACAGTAGACAACGTCCACCTGGAGTATGGGGTGGTGTACGAGTATGACAGCACAGCTGGAATCAAGTGCCACGTGCTCGAGAAGATGGTCGAACCAAAGGGATTCTTCAGCCTCACCGCTAAGGTATAGCATCCTTCAGTTTGCTTGATTTTTCTCTGTGCAGCATGAAATAAAGCGTATTTTCTTCCTTTGAATGTGGCACCAGAAGCACACACCTCCAAATGATTTGGAAGGAGGCACATTTATTGCTGCGTTGAATAGCATGATGTTTTACCACCTCTGTAAACATTTAATGAAGTGAGGAGACCAATTGTTGGGTTTTTAAAGTGAGCTATTTAAGCTTTTCAAGATTTGTGTCCCTCCTATTTTGAGTTTTGTGCTCAATAGCACTTGATGTCTTTGGTTGGTTCCGGACTACAGACAGCCAAGATTAGCATCGCGGCTCTTCTCACACAGAGTAATGTGGCTGGAATACACACAGTATGCGGTTTGGCAAGAACAAATGATTTTACAGCATTTGGAAGACAGCGCATGTTTCCACTAAAAAGCAACATTATTAGCGTCTTCACAGATATTCAGCTTACCAATGTCATATGTTTTAATGTCGCCCCATACCAAAGCAGATGCGTGCTTTTGAAGTGTGTACTGATAACAAGCTGGATGGCTCTTTCCTTTTGTAGCCCAGAGGATGTGGTGACCATGAATACCAATAAAAAAAGAAAGACAGAGAAGGCAGTAGTATTTCCAGATGTTTTGTTTTCCCCATTACATTTTTGAGTTTAAACTTGTAGATGCAGCTTTTGCCGCCACATAATGCTTGTATGTGGCATTTCTTGTTATCCACTTTTTCATGTTGGGTAGTAAATGGGCACATGCAGTATATGCCTTTTAAGGGTTTATGTTTGGCCAGTGATGGCAGGCCTCAAGTTATTTTTTGGCAAAAGCCTGGGTATTGTATTTGATTAATAAGCTTCACAGATTCACAGCTAAACCACAAAATAGTTGCATCCACAGTACATTTGAAGTATCTATTATGAATGGGCTGGAATGGTACCTACATCTTGTTTGTCCTTTTTGTCCCTTTGTTTAAGCTGTACTGGAATGTCCTATCCTGAAACATTTCTATGACATCTTAAATGCTTAAATGTATTTCAGTTGTGGGCAACAAAGAGAAAGGAGCACCAGGGAAAGATTTTGTCATATTGGTGATGATTAATGTTGGTGTATTTCCTCACAGAGCTGCTGTTCATGTAATGGAGTAAAGCAGAAAAGAAGCAAACAAAACCTTGATTCCTAACAGGCTTCAGTGGAACTGGAGATGAACGCACAAATGATTGGGAACAGTAATTCTTCACACGTGTTTACCTGTTGCTTGGACTTGAGTCAAGTCTCATCTAAATCTGAAATCAGTTTCTGAATGATAACCCAAGAACTTCAGCAGGCCTAAAATCCTAAATTAAGTAGTAATTGATCATATATGAGATAGTTGAAGTCTATGAGTTCAAACAAGCAGCTCCATTGGTGTGTATAGACCCAGAGGCATGAAGCTGATTAGAAGTGACAGCATTCCTTCACTTGCTTCCCGCCTGGGGTGCCTGAGAGCATGCTTTTTACATCCCAGCAGCGATGTTCACAGAATGATCATTAAATGATTTAAGATACTCAGAGGAGTTACTCAGACAGAACGGACGTTTGCTGACGTGGAAAACAGAAAGCACTCCGCAGCAGCTTTCCACCAGATCCAACTACAAACAGCATGCTCTTGCTTGCAATGAATTAGCCATGATCACAAGATTGGTACATGTCTGAGTCTGATCTAGATTAACAGTTCGGAAATGCAGTGAAAGATCCCTCATAATTAAACCAACTTGCATAATAAGAAAATCAAGATTCATAAAAATGTCCCTTCCAGCACACACAGATTTGTGTGATGATTCATTTTAATGTTAGTCGCTGTCTTTTGCTTCAGTCACTTTCACAGTTTTTCCCTGATTTCATTCCATATCACTATGAAAAAATAAAATAAAATATATTTTCTCCTCATATCAAATCTCTTATCTAAGTCAGAGCTTTTTGCATGTGTGGCGTGTACCAAAGTCTGGGGTTTGTCTCCATGGTGTTATGAAAACCATGTGGGATTTTTTTGATATTCAATTTTTTTTACTGGTCATAAAATACTGCAGAGAAATTAGATCCCTAGGCAAATTTGGTTTTCTGCTGAGCGGTTGCCAGGCCTTTTATTTACATACCATTTGTACCTGCAGGAAGACATTCAGAGGCATTTGCACATTGGTTTATCCTCTCTGTCTTTGTTTGCCTTTCCTATGACCAGATCCTGGAGGCGCTGGTGCGTAATGATGAGATGCTGGTGCAGATGTGCAGCAGGTTGAGTTCCAGCAGAGACGTGATTCCTGAGGAGCTGCAGGAACGCTTCAGCAACATGTACGGTGAAAGGGCGGAGCACATCAGCCGACGTATCACCAACTATAGAAAAGTAAGTCTCCAGAACAGATGCGCTGACCAACAGAGTACCATCATCATTCTCCCCCTCTAGGTGGTAAAGGAATGATAAATATATACACTTTAATAGGTACATGAGCACTAATAGATAAGGAAATAAAATCTATTAGCATATCAGTATTCATTCTGCAAGGATGATCAGAACCAGTAACTTCAAGTAAAAATTCAATGAATGTTTCACAATAAAACAACAAAATTCAGGTGATTTTACAATCAATACAAAGAAGAAAGAGCTGCATATTTCAATGCTTTATCTTTTCCAAACCTGTGTGGGCTTCAAGGTAGAGAATGAAATGATAGCAACAATATACAGCTGATATAAAAAGACTACTTCTGCGTTGATATGGTTCCATCCAGTTATTCTGCTCCAGAATCTAAGTCATTATGAACCAATCCTATATTATAGTGGCCCTGACAGGAAAAAAAACTTTGACAGAAAAAAAATAAAAGCTCTTCAGTAAATTGAAAATTTTTGAAACAACAAAATTGAAAAATGACAGAAAAAGCATGAAAAACAAGCTCCATGTAGCATTTCATGAAACACAACAAAAAGAAACTTCGGACTTTCTCTATCTCCCCCTTTTTTTTCCATTTGTCAGATCAGTTTTTCGTTAATACTGTTTATGTTTATGCTTAATACTGCCATGTGTTCGTGTGCTCTTGTGCTTTTTGCTATGTTGCAGTGTTTGGTGTTTGTGGCCAAGGGCTGCTGTACAAAATATACACGTTTTGATAGAATGTAAATGTTTGTGTTTATACATTTAGCTGAACATTTTAATCCAAAGCGATTTACAAAGTAGACACAATGTTACAGTTATCATCAATATGACAATAAGACAACAAGTAAATGGCGGCCTCAACCCTCTGTGGTGGAGTCTGTTATCTGTTACAACCCGAGACCTGACAAAGTGGGGAGAACACACTAAAAAGGCATGGATGTCCTTGAGCAAAGCAAGTTTTCTCATTGCTGACATCAACTTATCTAAATGCAATCCAGTAAGAAGCAAACAATAATAAAAGCAAACAAGACAAACCCCCAAACAGAGCGAAATTAATCAAACAGTAACACAATCAGCCATCGTTGTGCAGGAATTTTTTTTAACCCTTTAGGTAGTGATGTAACCCACCTATAAAACCTCCCAGAATCCCAAGAACAGGTTCTGCTAAAAAGAATTGTCATAGACTTCCAAAGCTGTCATGGAATGTGAATTTATTCACAAACTCTGTGACTGAGTAAGATTTACAACTAATTAATGTACCTATAGACGATACAAGTGAGTGATTGAGAAAGAGGAAAAGATCTGATCCAAAATCAGGAGGAGGGAATTGGGTTAATCATCATGTATTTCCCCACACAGGCACTGCCAGGGCTTTAGTTGTATAAGATCCCTTCATGCAGCAGTGCATTCCTTCTCAGATCTCTTGAGACATGGGAGAGGGAAGAGATAAATGTAGAGAGACTCTGAGTTTAATTAGGAAAAATGCTGATGTGGTGCACAGAAATAACAGGCCTCTAAAGACAGTTGTCAAGGTTACTCGTCAATTCATTGGAGCTTCTTGGAGCTCAAACTTCAATGAGATGGGGGGATTTTTTTTTTAACCTAAAATATATTGTACATTATGTTATGCTAGCGCCGGCTGTCAGTCTAAGTTGCTAAAACCTGATTTACTGGTTTAAAGCATTTGAGACAAGTAGATAAGATAGGATGCAGGCTCAGTGACAGGGTTTAAAGAGCGAGCAGGAAAGTCTTACTAAACCAAGTGGACCTCCGAGCCCTCCATGCATTCAGCTTTAAATTGAGATTTCATCCTGTCGCTGGTTAAAGGAGTTTCCTTCAGTCTTGTAACAGGTTAAAGAAGCAGGGTTGGGTGGATGTGCTAAAAACAAATTCCTATAAGGTTATGAGGAGGCAATGAGGATACCTGCCCTATTTACAGTACAAATATGAGATCCATGCGAGGAAGATTGACCAAAACTATGCATTATTTAGCAAAAAAAGAAAAAAGAAAATAAATTGAAAACTTCTTTGCAGAAAATTCCAAACTCGGGCTTACAAATCCCCTGAATGAAAAATCTGAGTAAAAACATGATGATATGAGCCGCTGCGCACCGTTTCAGCTCCATTTATGCCTGTTTAATTGATGAGAGAGTCTGGAGTTTTTCACATATGTGAGCAATGAAAATCTCATAAGTCTGTTTTGAATCTTTGATTTGGTTTGAATTTTCGAGCTGCCACGTAAAATGGGAGGAATGTTGAAAACATACAGTCCTGGATGCTTTTCTTCTACGGCCAGCTGTCACATATGTGAACGAGCACAGCACATTTTGTTGACAGATACTCTGGCCTGTTTTCCACATGGAACATTTTACTGTTTTGCAGAAATATACACCAGCTAAATAATGCAAGAACTCTGTTTAATTGTTTGATTTCCTTGTCCATAACTCTGAAATATATCGTCTACATGCCTAACATACTTAACTTGTCAAGGGTTGTTTTTTTTCCAAAAGTAATTGCTACAACAATGCATTACCAGGTGTATAACAGGTATAACTGTCTCCATATCTTCTGTTGTGCAGTTTTCCAGGGTACTAAAAAATCGAGCGTGGCCCACCTTTAAGCAGGCCAAGGCCAAGGTGTCTCCTCTGCACAGCAGCGATTTCTGCCCCACAAACTGCCATATCAATGTGATGGAGGTGTCCTACCCCAAAACAACCACCTCTCTTGGTAGTGCTTTTGGCGTGCAGCTGGACAGCAGGAAGAACACTATGGAGAAAGGCAGGCGTAGCAATGCTGAGCAGGGTAAGCACCGGCACCGCGGAGTGATTCCACGTATTCATTTAGCTCCACGGCTCTGCAGTTTGACCGGTAAAATTGTTTTGTGTTCAGGTAAGCTCAACCCCATGGTGAATGTACAACACACCATCACAACTATGGCCGCACCGTCTGGTCATAGCTTGGGCCGGACAGAGGGTCATGGACTGCGCTTTCTGCTCAGAGAAGAGGACCTACTCACCCTCGATGCATATCAGAAGCTTCTCTACAAACTCACTGCTGTTGTCAAGGAGATGGAGATACATGGTGCCCATATTCACGAGTGAGTGCTTATAGCTATGCTTTGAACGACACAGGCTCATAGATTGAGCAGTACTTGTATGATCGCCTCTCAGACTTCTCATGAAGAATGGAGGCCACCATGAAAACTGGCTTTACTAAATTTTGGCAAGAAGCAATTTGCTCTCTGGGTTTTAGGAATCAGAGATGTTGTTAAATAGTCGCTGTCATTGAAAACCAAATCACACAAACTTGGCTTCAGTAAGCTTAACTTTAAGAACTGTGCATTTTAAACTGGTGAGTTACAGTTTTTTTCTGAAATAAACTGGAGTTCAGTGAATTGTTTTGATAATGGTCATTAGTGTTGTAATTATGAATAAGTATAATGAAGAAATAGGGCCTAATCTCAAATAGATGTCATGCATAGAATAATGGGCATGCCAAAGAGCAAAGAAAGAAACCTTTTCTTTTTTTTATCTTACAATTGATTCATTCCAAACAATTTTGCATGGTCCCAGCAGGAAAATTTCCATCCTGTGAAATTCAAATGGGTGCTTGATTTAATAAAGATGAAGAAAAGTTTTAAGGTTGAGGGTAACTTTAATGCCCCATGGATTGTGTTTTATCAAATGAGCTTGAAATTCAGATGAGTTTGAACATGTTTAATGCAAAAGATAAAACCCAAACTGTTTGGAACATTTCAGATCACGTTTTGTGATAATGGAAATGTATTTCAATTTGAAATGTCCCATGGAACCAGACTTTTTTGTGTAACAAAGCTACTGTGTTGGTACAATGGGAGGTCAGTTCACTGCTCGTCTGGCATACATCTCAGCCATTACTGTGACACCTGTGTGTGCGTCCTCTGCAGCGGGAGAGTCGAAAGACAGAGGAATAGCAAGCGTGGAGATTTTTCTCTTCCTCTGCATGAGATTGTCTTTTTCTGAAAAGCTGTTGGATTTTAAACTAGTGTTTGTTTAGGGGGTGAAGGGAAGGGGAGTGAGGGCTGAATCGCTCTTCTGCTGGGTCTCTGTATTCAGCCTGGTTTTCTGCCTTTGGCATGGATGCAAGGCTCATTGTTTGGAGGAAAGAAAACAAATGGGAAATGTTGTTCCAGCCTACCAACAAACAGGAAATAAAATCTCAATAAAGAAAAGTGTGACATTAGGCCAAGGGCACTCTGGAAAACAGATTGACTAACAAGGAACTTCTGATGGATGCCTGCACAGCCCCGTCACGGACATACTGTGAAGCAGGTTTCTCTTCTCACGGATTTTGACTTTGGCAGTTTGTAATTATTTGTGGACAGCTCAAGTGTTAAAGTGTCACTTATGGATCCTTAGATGATCATTTGATCGATTTAGTCATTAAGATTCTTCTTCTAATTCAGAGAGCAACATTAAAAGTTGCTAAATGGAGCAGCGCTGTCACCTCAGCATGTTAATAATGAGATGAGCCCACCGCGGGGCTGATAACGACAGAGACTGGACAAATTTCTGTCATGCTCCTGTCACTGCCAATTAGCTCACTAGCATCCTCTCACACCGGAATAGTCGATGACACATCCACCGAGGCGATAATGACCTTTACCATGCGTTGTCTGTTCAAATGGCCAGACTATGCACACTTCAGGAGCTTGTTAAGTTTGAGATGTAGTAGCCTTCTGGATGTATTGTTTTGACCTTTGAGGGGAAGATGAGCCTTCCTCAGCTCTTCATTGGATTAGTTTTCATATTAGCTTGTTCGCTGGCTGGACAGGGGTCATTACTTCTGCTGCCACACACACCCTGTCCCTCCTGCTCATCCAGCTCCTGGTTTTGTTTAAAGCTGATGTTCCTCCTGTCTGCCCTCATTTCCTCCATGTCCAAGTATCTACGCAGCCATCTGCACACAGACACAAGCATTCCTCACTCTCTCCGTCCCTTCCTTTCTGTTTTGGGTGTGACCTGTTCTGATAGCTCATATTTGAACGATGTAATGATAAGCCGAAGTGCCCGTTTTTTGCATAACGTCTAACGCAGCTCTGTTCCGCTATGAGGGGAAACAGTTAAGTCCGAGAAAGATTCAATGCAGATTACAAGTATCCTTATAATAATTTATGAAAGAAAAAAAGCTGGGTCTTGTTCAAAGTTATATAATTTCTTGGCTGATCCTTGAGGAATCCATTTTGAGGCAGTGACCTGTGAACTTTTGTCTCGGGCCCCCAGAGAAGGGGACACAGCTGCGAGAAAACAAACCTGGAGATGTGTTCTGTATCAGGATCTCCTCCCTTCCTGGATCAAATACCGCACTTCCCCACTTCTCATTCCATTTTCGTATCTTTTCCTTAATCTGCATACACTGAAAGTAGTGGCATTTGAGGCTGTAGGGTGCCTCACCTTACTTATTCTGCTATGGATTGTTATTCAAAGACTGGAACATTGAGAAGCTTTGGAGTGGGTTAGTGTCATGTGTTATTTTAGAGTCAGTCAAAGCAGCTGAAGTCTCTTGATTTAATTAGTCAGAAGAGATTTAAAGGCATTCTACCAGTGTGCTAGTAGACTTTGGGCTATTTCATTCTCTTGTTTTCAGTTTTTCCTGTCTTTTTCTCTTTGGACCCCTTCTGTTATTCAGTAATAATTGCCATACTGCCTCCAACAGTTGGCGCCCCAAACCGGGCTCACTTTGTTTATTAACCGGTAGCCAATCGCAGAGCCAGGAGAATTTTTCCATGGTGATGGAATGCCACTTTGCTTTGGAGGGGCATTGTAGTGGCTCCTGGAGTGAACCATAATGAGGGCTTCTTTGCTGCCTTGTCAGCCTGCAAATGGGCAGAAAGGGGGTCAGTTGAGAGAGGGACAGTGGTAGAGTTTAGGGGATGTAAAACCGAGATCCACTTAGCCAGCATGAGGGAGGCAGGTTGTTTATTTTGATGCAGCTCAGGGTAATTCAGCCTCTCTGTTTTTTCTCCGCTTTGAAATGTTTTGAGAGCCGATTTCGTGACGTCATGGAAAATTTAAGCAGGCTGAAATTAAAATGACTCTGAAATATAAACAGACATCGCGTGTCAGATTGTATGCATGGAGAGAGATAAAAAAGGGGGAAAAAGTCCAAGCTTAGCTTTTATTAGGGTATGGCTTTAAACTCCGCCATGTGTTGCCTCAACTGTGAAAATATCCTGTCCACCCTCTTCCTGCTTCTCTGATAGGCGTCTATTAGCATGCAGGCCAATGGTAATACAGAGAGGCGCGCTGATCTGTGCGCGGCGGCATGTTGACACAGCTGCACTCTGCTACACGTTTGAAACTTTAAATACGACGGGGGCCTCCGACCACCTGAAGCTGTTGTGCGGAAGCCAAAAACAAACAGGCCCGAGTTTTGCTTGGCCCGCTCCGTCAGCTGTAGGAGCCCACGACGTGTGCTTTGGCCCAGCTGCATTCTGTACATGAAGTGAGTGTGGGCCTCAGCCATGTGTAAGACCAGTCGTGCTGTGCTAATCGGATCAATCCAGTTTTTTTAAACAGTCTGTCTCGTGTTTAGTTTGGGCTAAAGTTGTGATTAATTCATCCTCTCTTTCTTCCCATCTCTCCTTCCTTCCTTCCTTCCTCTCTGCCACCATCAGCCTTCTATCCTCCATCACCCACCCTCCAGCGTCAGAGGTGAGGACCCCAGAGAGCTACATTTCTGCAGAAAATGAGGGGGAGAGGGGGGAGAGGAACGGGAAGAAGGTGTGTTTCAATGTGGCAGGAGACGAGCAGGAGGACTCCGGACATGACACAATCAGTAACAGAGATTCATACAGGTAACACAAATGAGATGTTTAAGAAGTGTATATAAAACTTTCACAACTGTCATAATGACATCAGTTAGTTTTAGTCATGTTTAGCTCCTTTTTCATATATAATTTACATAAGTAAAGCAGAATAAATTGAAATGTAATGGACATGACATTATAAAAGTTAGAAATAAAGGACAATTGTAGGGCTGTGTTTTTAAAAAAAGGAAGTCAGATATTGACAGCATTATGATGAAAAGACGAAAAGCCACATGCAATCTTACTGACAACATTCATAGCATATGTTTTGTATGCTTTTGTGTCGATTCAAGTATTATATCCATGATGGTCTTCTCCTGATTCTTTGTCAGTGACTGCAACAGCAACAGAAACTCCATCGCCTCCTTCACCAGCATCTGCAGCAGCCACTGCAGCTCCTACGTTCACAGTGACGAGATGGACTCAGGTGCTTACACACATACAACTTAGCATAGTTTAATATAGGTCTTCTGTTATGATAATATTAAGTCTCAAGTCATGGAATATGATTATACAATTAGTCTGTGATTAAACCCTCGCTTTTAAAAAAGAAAGGGTAAAAGATTAAAATGACTGCTTTTGACCAGCCTTTGTCCACATATCTGAGCTGGATTTGTTTTTGCTGCCATTTACAGTCAGCATGCAACTGTTTAACACAGTACAGTTTATGCTGACATGTTGTCATCACTCCTCTGAAGGAGATGAGATGCCTTCCAGTGTGTGGCTGTCCCATGATAAGCAGAAAAAACTCCACAGCTTCCTGGAGCACCTCTTCAGTCAGGTGAGTCAGCCAACTATTTTATCTGTTATTATGAGGCTTCTTATTGAGACACTAAGGATATGATAATGCTTGCATTCAAGTTTTTCTCAAGCTCCGTTGTTGTTTTAAGATATTCCTCAAATATCGGGGAGAAAACTCCTTGATATGTTGTAGTCTGATTTCCTGAAGTATCCCTCACCCAAGATCAAGATGTATCAGGCCAATGAAACAATCTGCATTTCCTAGCAAGATTTTTTTAAACTAAATTTCTGTACACACACAAGCAAACGCCACCCACGCCAGGCTTCATGAGGATGTTTCCACGGGCGTGGAAAAGCAGACAAAGAGCTCGCTCTGCTGTCTCTGCTCTTTCTGGGGCTGCTTCCCGTCATTTGTTTTTATTTTAGAGCAGTTTCCCCAGCTTTGTTTACGCATGCCGCATAGCACGCTGTTCTCTCCGGGGCCCGGAGGGACGGCACGCGCGTGCCACAGACACAGCCAGAGAAGCAGGTGTTGGCTGTGCGAGGGCAGCAGTTTTTGTTTCCCGTCACGTACCTTCGATCCCGGCCCAGTTTGAAACTGTATCAAGTGCTCCAGCTTGACCCGTGCACCTTCTGCAGGTGGACTCCATCACCAGCATGCTGAGAGGAGCGGTGGTGGCTCGGGCCTTTGAGCAGACAAAGTGTTTCACACCCGGAAGAGGATTGCAAGGTACCTGGAACAGGGATGTGCTGTCGGCTCAGACCCACTTTTATTTTGCATTGTGCATTTCAGCTCCTCGGTTATGTGAAGCCTTTTTACATTTAGAATGTTTGTTTATGCTGTCACACACTTGTGGATTCCTTCTTTTCCCTGGAGGAGCTGCTGCTGTTGTGGGCCTTGGAGGAGAAATGTGATGTAAAGATGACACTGACATAAAACAGCACACACTGAGACGGTCGCTCTGCGGCTTCCTGTTGCGTAATGTTTGAGGGGATAGAAATGATGTACACGTATGGGGAAAGGGTTGGAGGCAGATTTTTTAACTCAGCCTAAAACATGCTTCTGCCCTCTTCACGATGTTGTGTAATCTTGACTTTATGGTGTTTGTAGACAAAATGAGCCCTCTTATGGGATCTGATTAGTTTATTTTTCTCTGTGTTTATTTACCATCAGACCGTATCTTGGCATCACTGTTTAGCAGTTTATTGTAAGGTATTATTCTTCACAAGAAACTGTAGGAAATAAGGTGGTAGTTTTATGAGACAAGCTAGCTGACAGGGACCCTTCATCATCTCTGAAACCGTCTCTAAATGATTTGACCCATTCTTTAGATAATATAGACAATAACTAGTGTGTGTCACGGTCTGTATGATGGTATCAACTACACTTAAGTAGGCTTGAATGTGAATGTGGTAAATGCACATCACAACGTATCAAATTCATTTGATAATTCAAGCCTCTGACCACCCCGGCCTGTACAGCACACAGATTCTCTCCTCAGCCGTTCTCAAGTTAGTGCAGATGAACTGAAAATAGGCCTGCCTTGGTTTATAGGGCTGCGTGTGTTTCGTATGGTGTGTTTGTACGCATAAATGCCTTCAGGAGGCACATAAGGCCTTGATCTGAGCTGATCCATCTCAACTTCTGTAGTGTGTGTGGTTGATAACAGAGCAAATAGGATTATCTAACAAGTAGAGCATTCCGGCGTCTAATCTCACTCTCTCTCTGCTACTCTAAGACGTGCACATCGAGACACACACTCAGCCCCCATGATCTTATCAGTGATCTTTCTATCACAGATATGTTGTTTGCCAAGGTGAAGTGTATTTCAAGTCATTTCAGTTGCTGTGAGAGGAATTACATCAGATTTCGCGTTTTTTCCATTATGCTTTAGAATAGATCGTGTTGCAGTTATTTGATTTTTGGTTCTCTGTGAGAAGATGAAGCTTTCTAACCATTCTAAATTGGCAGAAAAGAGGCAAAATCAAATTCCAGCCACAACCTATCCTATTTGTGTAATATAGATGATAAAGTTAGGGGAATATTTAAAGTTTTTTTCAGTTGGATTTCACTTATTTGAATTTACTTTAATTTAAAATGCAGCATAGTTGAATTCAGCCCATATTAATGAGGGAGGATGCGTCTTCAGAGATTGCTTTAGTTTCATTTGAAGGAACTAGACTTGTGTAGGGTAATGGTGACTAGGACTCCAAGGCTGAAAGATGTCAGCTTCTGACAAATTGTGTAATGTGTATTGATGTGACTGCCAATTAGTATTTAATTACACGTAGCAGAAGGCTTTAACTGACAAACGCTTTTCAGCCACCTATCAGACAAACATGAAGGGAGCTAATTTCCCAAGTTTCATCAAACAAGTAACTCAAAAGTTGGTTTATGACCTCATTATCTTCTCCTGGGTTTACGCCCCTAACTTTGATCACCAGGTATCATGCATTGCCATTTTTGCTGTGTTCTCCTGTGGAGCTTTAATCTCTGTTTTCTCTCCTCATTTAACCTTAATAGTAGGAGTTGAATTGAATCCAACTGACATTTAATTCCTGCATAATGTGCCTAATGTCTGATATACAGGCGATTCTAGTGGTATTTTAATAGCCTGTTTATGTGTCTTTCTGTCAGAGTTTCAGCAGGAGATGGAGCCCCGGGTAAACTGCGCCAAAAAGTTGCGTCTCCATGTTAAACAGGATCCCTGGAACCTTCCCAGCAGCGTTCAGGCGCTCACACAAACCATTTCAAAATATGTAGAAGGTCAGTGTGTACCTAAGCGACACGCACAAAGCCAGTAACAAATCCACTGTGTTTAAGCCCTGCAGTTTGTTCACACAGCCATAAGTTACGGAGAAAACATGCCCAAAGTGAGATAAAATGTCCTTTAAACTGTCCAATGCTTCAGTCCGCCCGCTCATATTTATTTGATTAAATAAATGGCTCTAAGTTGTCAAAGTACAGTCAGTCCCAGTAACTGCTCGATTTTCTTTATTTTTTATTTTTTCAATAAACCATAAATCTGAAACCAACCTGGGACTCGTGAATCGGAGCCAAACTTGGAGCTAAAAGCTAGTTGCGATTCAAAGAGCTGCCTCCTGACAGATCCCTTTAATTTTTTCCCTCTTTAAAAAAAAAGATCTGTTTGATTCTCACCTAGTGAGGCATTTTGTTTCCAGCAGGATTGAATTTTTTCTTTTTCTGGCTTGTTTACACAGTGATAGAATACATAAACACTCACAGGCAGGCAGTATATGCACACATGCTGTAGGCACGCTACCAAACACACGTGCCCACAGCTGAAACCAAAAGTCGGCCACATGGCACTCCTGGGAAAGGTGACCAACTGATACAAAACAAATAATCAGATTTATTATTAATATGAAGCTCGGCCGACTGGAGTGCTGCTTCCTGCTTTGTTACCCAGAAATACGATACAACTATAAACAAATCCAGATTTATCTTGTAGTCTATGCCTGTGACTGGTTTTATTCTGTGTTTTTGATAAGTGAAGATAAACAGCTGATAAATAACGATAAAGTTATACAATAGTGTCCCGCTTAAGATTTCGGGGGGAAGAGTTTATGCAGTAGATCTTTCTTTTCCAACTGAGGAACCTGGCTTTGTGCAGTTTGATTTAAGGTTATTTACTTTTTCACTTTTATTTGCTGATTTCAGAGGTGAAGACACGACTGCTCTTGGTCTTGCTCCAGTATACAGGTTTGTACAAATATTCTTTCATTTTGAGACAAACAGGACATGACATGTGCTTAAATTATTAAAAACTTTGTGTTCTTTATTTTGGCCCAAGTGGGGAAAAATTGGAATGAAACTATACTCCCTCAAGGGAGAATCCTTTGCCTGTGACCCTGACTTTCCCATTAATTTAAATAAATAGAAGACATGATTGTGCCAAAGTTAAATAAATAGGATGGGAAGAGAAAGAGTAATAGGAAGGCTTTTATAAACAAGAAAGAACTGGGTCTCTTATGCCGAAACTGCCGAGCACTCATTTTACTTTGTGTCACTGAGGTAATACAAGGATTAGAGATAAGTATGCACAAATGCATTTTATGAAAGTCCAAGTTAAATCTCCAACATGGGGACTGAAGTACCGTTATAGCAAAATGTTTAGAATTAATTTATTCCACTGTAAGGTAGAACTGATTTCATTTGCTGTGAGTACACCACCCGCATTGGACCATTCTGCTTCAAATAAATATGCTCAAGTCAAGTTAATATATTTTGCCCCATTAACAACTTCCATAGGTTGCAAACTAGTGGCCAAAACATGTTGTTTGTGTCTGAGGAGTTCATGAACTCATTATTTTCCACTGTCATTACCTCTCTTTTCCCCCCTTGATGCAACACTTTTAGGGTAACAAGGAAAAAGTCTTCTAAATCCTGTATGTCTCACCCATGTTGGTCTGTCTAATTACCTTAACAAACTCGGGATGTCTCTTCTTCCTTCAGCCTTCTGTTAAACTCTGGCTTTATAACTTTACTCCTTGACTTATAATCGTTTGTTTTAATCTTTTGACTACATGCTATCTTCACCATGTGCACCTCACCTCTCTTCGGTCTCATGCCTGTTTTGGTTTTTCCTTTAGACTCCGAGATCCAGTTGCGTCGAGACATGGTGTTCTGCCAGTCGCTGGTGGCAGCTGTGTGTGCCTTCTCAGAGCACCTGTTGGCCGTCCTCAACCAAGTACATTACACATGCTATGTCTGCATAAAGAATCACAAATAACAAAGCGTCCAGTCTGCTTACACTGGATTGCTATTTTTCTGTCCACTGTCAGTTCCACAATGTAGGAAGAGAGCAGGAGCAGGACTTTCCGGACCCTCAGGAAGCCCGGGAAGCCAGCCGTCGATGGCTGGAGCAGATTGCCACTGCCGGCCTTCTCTTCCACTTCCAGTCCCTGCTCTCCCCAAACCTGGTGAGCAGGCCCTGATATTTTACATTCTATCCAAGATTTTAGCTTAATCTGTCAGTCTTTTTGTACGCGTCTTCTCTTTGCAACATTCATGGTGAATTTCAGTGACACAAGAGTTGAAGTAACAGCACGTTTGTTTTTAATGTAAATGTCTACGTCTTTTTGCATTTATTTAAATGAACTAAGCACCTGCTGCTTTTAAAGAACATGAGCAAATGTTTAATTCTGAATAATAATGCTAAGTCTAATTGTTGTGAAATTCAGCCAGTTCCGTCTCTTTCAATTGTCCGTGTGGAACAAAGCAAAGTCTCAATACCTGAAGGGGTTTCAAGGGAACTCTCTAAGTCCTTTTTTCGGAACCACATGAAAGGCAGCTTGAGAGGAGCTGCGGCTGCTGACCGCTGGAGCTTTTGTGTTGGCTGAATGCTGTCTATGTGTCAGAGGAGGGGTGTTTGTGTGCCATCCTTTGAGATACACGTCCATGCACACAGCAGCCATCATTTGGCAGGACAGAGGGTCACTCTGTCACATGTTCGTCCATCTCAACTCAGTCTGCAGAAAAAAGCCCCTAATCCTGTTCCGCCGCTACCCTGTTCAGCCCTCTGCGTGCTGTGGCTGGGCTGTGTAAGAAAAGGAAAACAGCACTTTCTGTGATATTTTAGCTGCTGTAGATGTGGCCACAAGCAGACATGAGCTTGTTTGTGGAGGGAACGGTAATTCAGAGATGTAAATAAACACAAGCAAACACGAAGCCAGACAAAGGCCGGCTTACAGGCACTCTGCCATGTATTGTGACACTTTCCTTGCATAAAATAAATATCATTCATGTAAAAATTTATTCTCTCTAGAAATGATATGCACACTGACTTTCTTATCTAATTGATTTTGCCCATGTGCTGAACTGTGGTAAAAGTCGAGGGATTACTATGAAACTATTTTCTGTTATTATCTTACTTTATGTACATTTTTATTTAGGGATGATGAGCTTATTAAATAAATAAAGCCATAAGTAGCTAAAACTAAAACAAATGGAAATTTAGTAAAAAGGAAAGTGTAAGTAATAATCAATCAGCACTGTTCATATAGTAAAATGTCTTGGATGCTAATGCACTCTAAACCACATTCCAATGTCATAGAAATCCGGGAAAAAATTGTTAGCCCTGAATACCTCCCTGCAAAAAGCATTGCATTGATTTAAGCTGCAGAACATTAGCTAAAGGAGCTCCTCTCTCTTAATGGTCAAGATGCTTGCACAGCAGTTCACAAAAACACTGAAATAAATTCACTTTTAAATGAGCAACAGCCTACAATAGTGAATACATTTAATAGATAGACAAGGATGAGCTTACGTAACTTATGTTACGGGGTTTACAAGACTTATGGCCTGGATTTTGTGGGCCACTTCTTTTTCTATTTTTGTTCACAAAGATGCTAAAAAATACTAAAAAGATACACTTTTTAAAGAAAGAAACATCTTCCTTCACAGCAAGATTATCATGTTAAATATGAATAAACGATGGGAGGGCTACATTTTCTGTTGGCTGTAAAAACTCTTTGTTGCCCTGTATAATTTTTATGGTGTATTACACAGCTGGGCTTCTAAATGAAAGGCAACACCAACATAAAACGCCTTAACTGCTGAATAACTTAAGATTTCCTTCCTACACTCGCCGTCTTTTTCCCACACTTGGCTCTTACATTACCCACAATGCAGGCTGATGTAACCTCATTATGAAATTATATTTCTACTTTGAAGCGGGAGCTACACATATCTGTTCTCCTCTTCAGACTGATGAACAGGCCATGTTGGAGGACACTCAGGTGGCCCTGATTGATCTGGAGAAGGTCACCTTTCACTTCCAGCAATTTGAAGGAGAGCCACTGGTTGCAAGTGTGTATTCCTGAACAATTTTCTCTGTTTTATCTGATTCTATAGCTTATCAAATACTCTTGTTATTATTTTGTTGTGGCTTCATTGATAGTGATTATGTCAAACTCTGATGTTTTCACGCCGTTTGAGAAAATAATAAACAGCTCTTTCACGTACATTTCTGCACTCTGGCAGACATGCCTATTTCTTACCAGGTGGAGGGCACCCGCCAGGCCTTAAAGGTCTGCTTCTACCTTGAAAGTTTCTACTTCTCCCAGCTGCCTTACAGGCTGAAGAACGGCGGAGGCATCAAAATCTACCCCGTGCTCTTCACTCAAGGTATGGCGAGCCTCATTCAGGACCTGTGCAACACAGCAAATACACAGAAGCCACTCTGATCAAGAAAGACCACACATCCCTTTGCTTTATCTTTCCTTCTATTCTTTGCAGCTCTGGAGAGTATGGAGGGATACTACTACAGAGACAATGTGTCAGTGGAGGAATACCAAGCGCAAATTAATGCTGCCTCATTGGATAAGGTCAAGCAGTACTACAAGAGACTGAGGTATTGTATAAATACAGATAAGAAGAATTTTCACATCTTGGTTGATTTTATGTAGATTAAAAAATATATTAAAAGCTCAAATAGCCACCTTATGTTGTGTCTGGTTAGACTGAGTGCACAGCAGTGCCTCGTGGTGATTGGCTGAGAGAAGCGCAGGGACATCAGTGATTGGATGAGAGGGCTGAACGTGCCACCGGCTCTGGTGCAGTGCCTCTCTGCAGCTGCTGCACTTAGTTCCTTCACAGCTCATTGATTTGCTAGTCACAGGAGACCCCCTGTGATTGGCCAGGTGCGAGTAGTTTAATGAGCTGGAAAGTCATAAGAAGAAGAACTTTACTTCAAGAATGTATTAGTATTGAAATTGCTAATTAACTTGAGATCTTAGATTGCTAATTAACTTGGAATGTAAACGTGGGCTCTTTTCTTTTTCGAGCTACTTGGAAGATGACCTGTGGCTCTTAACTGAATATCTGCTGCCTACGGCGGGTAGCAAACCTTCGTCCTTTTGAGTGTGCTATTTAACCATTTATGGCTCAGGCACTCGTGTGCCTCATCAGTTCCATCCCACTATGAGACAACATTCATTTATGGATCGTGCTCTCAGCAGAGAGCTTTTAATTTCTTTGTAGTGTTTAATTTGATGGTTGGAAAGTGAGCGCTGCTTCTCTCAAAGCACTGCTGACGAGGGCAAATATGCCTGGAAATATAATCTTTTTGCACATATGGTATTTTTAACTACCCTGCCATCTTTTTGTGTTATTATCTTTTCTGCCAGATCCTCTGGGACCTTCTAACCTTTTGTTATAGAAGGGTGGCATTTGCTCATTTAATTTAAAGACTGCAAGGTGGGGATCAGCTTTTAAATCTTCCTCATTTTGTTGTTTTGTTTTTTTGCTGTTTAACACACCCTTTATCGCACCTAATTCTTATGCAGCTTAGTGAAGAGGGCCGTGCATATGTTTTCCAGAGCCGCTTCTTGGTTTTACATTTGTGTAAGGTTCTGCACAATTTGACCTGTATGGGAAGGGGCTAATTGGGTATACAACAAAGGCAGCAGCCGTAATGGGGAGCAGATGTGTCTAACAGGACTCAAGCAAGTTAGGCCGACAATACATGGAGCATTTAAGGTGCCGGGGTAGCAGCCAGAGGGAAAGTGTGGGACTCCTCTTTAAGGTGCACTGCCATTACGAATCAATAATGGAAGTGATTAGACATCATTTAAATTAAATGAAGATTAACAACCGAACTGTAAACTTTTCTCAGTTAAAAGTAGTTTCAACTACTCAAACTCCAGTCTCTCTCCTTCTCCAATCTCCATTTTTCTGAAGTTTAAAACATTTTCAGGTATTTGTCTTTATACTGTTAAAATTCTCAGCAGCAGAGACAACCTGTTATAATTATAATTAGGTGTCTTTGAACATGGAGAAGGTGTTTTCCATCACTAACAGATCAAATAACTTAGTGTTTCCATTATCAAAACAACTCCCTCCTGTTTAATATCCCGATAGCCAACAAGGCATTTATTAGATCGAGAAATAATATTGTAACCCTAAATAAATTAAATAAACAGGCGACAAAACTCACTCCTTCCTAAAGATTTTCACTGTTTAAACGTGTTTGACTAAGCGCTCTCAGTTGGTTTTCAGCCGTCAGGAGTCTCTCTCAACAGAATGTATCACTCCCATTAGTTTTCGTTTGCCGGCTGCCATCTGTCTTTCGGCTGACCACAGACCAGGCCGTGATGTCACTTCGCTCTCCATTGCGGTGCTCCAACCTCAGGCACCTCGTTATCCTTGGAGCTGGGCCACAGCAGTGTTGGGTTAAACCCACATGATGGTCCAGAGCCACTGGCTGACTGACAGGCAGAAAGAGCACAGCGCACACACTGAATGGACCAATTGTGGGTTGTTTTCTATTTAATGCAGTCGGGTAGCTTACCAGAACCCTTTTAGCCCACTGGGGTGTTTGTTTAGAGGTTGAAATGAAGTTTTTCCCAATAGTGCAGCTGCATTTAGTGGCATCTTCATTTTCATTTGTTTCTACCCTCCTTTCTGCAGTCTGACCAAATGAAACACGCTTTCGTACAGAGAAACGTAGAACTGCGTTGGTCATGCTTTTAACTGCAGTTTCTGAGATCACAAAAAAAAGTGCGACACTGCAGTACCTTTGCCATCGTGCACTAGAGGCATGACACAAGTTTGCAGCCATTTACACAGTGAACTACATTACCTGGAATGTGCAATAATAAAAAGGAGTAAAAACCTGCGGGTTAGTGAGCGGATAGGCCAGCGGAGTACAGTACAAGTCATTTTCCTTTTAGAAAACACACTGGGGGGTTTTCAGAAAAATAATGAGCATCGCAGGCAGTGGAGAGGGTCGAGAGAGAGGTGCAGGTCGGGGAAGGAAGAACCGGAACAATCAGCAAATGTATTATTCAGAGAGAAGGAGACAAATCATAGCTGGCTTGTTATTTCATCTCATTTCGCTCCTATTGACAGGACTTTTCAGGAGGGCATCGGTTTTTGCTCTTGCACGCTTGCTGACTTATCGATTTAAGGAGAGTGGTATGAGAGAATGAAGGGTAAAATCCCTGCATGCCGTCTGCTCGTGAGCCGTGTGTGGCTCAGGCCGTATTGCTCTGGGATGTAGAGCAGTGACTGGTGTGTGTAAGAAGACAGGCTTCATTCTCTACCTTTTCCTTACCAGAGGCTCTGGGTGCTGGTAATTTCTTAGTGGCTGAGCTGAATACTTTGTCACTGTATCACAAGGCAGCTGTGAAACTCTCTTCTCCTATTCATAAAAAGATTTCATTCATCATAGAATATAATCCTGGTGTTTAACACAGTCTGACAGACACTGTATAAGGATGATATGGGGGCTGAAAGTTTGCAGTAAGCTTGGTTGAATAGCTTTGGGCAGCTGTCGATGCACATATAATTATTATGGACTGTTGAATTTAATGCTTTGTTAGTAAGAGCGGTCTATCATCACCACCCAGCATTGCCGCTTAGTCGTTTGTGCTCTCAGTCTCATCCACCAGCAGTGGGAATTAATAATCACACTGCTGCCACATTGTTTGCCCGGATTAAGCAGGAAAGCTAAATGCTTATTGCAGGTGAGAGTGTCAGTTTCATCTCAGTAGCAAGCTACCCCCCATCTCTTTGTACTCCTGTTTCCTCTATTTTCTTCTGTCATCTCATGTTTGGATGTGATTAAACCTTTAGTGTTCAAGCATATCCTTGTTAAAGTCTCAAGTTTCAGCCAACATGATTAATGACCAGATGATCAGGGAATAATTAACTGAAGAAAGGCTCCTTCCGGGATGGATGTATTATTCAGATCTTTCACTTGCCAACAGCAATGAAAAAACAGCTAAAATTAGCTGTATAAAAAATTTTAGTTGAAGTTACAGTGCATGTGTATTAGCAGGGATATGCAGTTAGGGTATTATAAACAGCTAGTTTGGTCCATAGACAGAAATGTTATTAGTATATTATTTATGTTTACAGATGCTGCTGATGTTGGCAATAAAGAAACAATGTATATACAGTTTTCTAAAGCAGTGCACTCTCAGTTCCAGAAGCGGTGAGGCAAATTAACAGTTTTTCATGAAAACACATATGCATAGAAAGGCATTAGTTCACAGTTTTTCATAAGTAATACTGTCTTTGCGGTCTCTGCAGTATAAATGCGGAATAGGTGGTGAAGGTGAACGTGCTCCACACGTTCGGAGAATCTAAACAAATCGTGCTCAAAAGGAAGCAAAAGTCCCTCAGTGGTGCACTTAATTTGCCAGAAAGGGTTTTTCACTTATTTATGGCTTTCCTTTTAGAGGTTAAAGAAGTTTACTTTTTCTGCAATTATGGGTCCACAGATAATTATGGATGTTGCAATGAAATATGGATATTTTTCCAGCTTCGCCACAATTCGGTTGCAGTTATTTTTTTTCTGCTGGAACAGAGCTCGTCTCACTGTGCTTCTCTGGTGGGAGAAGTGCTGCACCGGATAAAGGAGTCCCAGTTCAGCAGATCTGTATGGAAGGTGGTGAGGCTTCGTTCTGCTCCAGCTGGTTTGAGCTGAACCCCTGTTTATTAAGCCTGGAGGGTTGAGCTCCTTCCATTTAACACTTCTTGGTGATTTTATTATACCACAGCTGTCATGATCCCAGCTCTGCTCTTTGTGATGTTGCACACAATTAAATCAAAAGGCAGGATTAATCTTGCTCTCTTTTTTCTTTAAGTTAACTTTAAGAAAGAGCCAAATATACAGTAGTATATTCATATTTACACTTTAAAAGGCATCAGGAATAATAAACCTGTTCAGCTCCAGTAAGCCTGTGGCTAACCTTGTATGTATGCGGTAGCTTGTGCTTGTGTCCTCGGTAACAATGATTTAGTGATAATATGCCTTTGATTAACTTTGACACTAAGACACCATTAACACAAATCCACTGCAAGTGTCAAGACTGAATGTTTCTTCCCTGAACCTGATTAACACTAAAGACTTCAGTCTCACCCTTGATTTAGATTTTATCAGCGTACATTTGAAATAAACCTTTTTTCTTCAAATAATTTGTGATGCTTTAATAAAACAGTGCCATCTGAATAAACAACAGGTCGATTTTGTGGGCACTTTTCTAAGTGCTTTGATATGAAACTATAGCTACCATATTGTTACTCGTACAATACTATACTATACTAAACAAGGTCCTTTAAGGCCTCATCAGCCCTCACACAGCTTTATCTCATGTCAAAGGTTTGTTGGCAATTAAATAACAGTGTCATTCATCATTGCATTGTGAGTGATTTATATTGGCCACATATATACACTAATATAATGAATTGCTAAGTAACCTGCTTTCATGCTTATGTGGCAATGAGTGTTGAATCACAATTGCTCCGTTAAACAATTTGTTGTATCCTTTTAACCTTTTCAGGAAGCAATGTGTTCTTTTAATAAGGGGTATGATGAAAATAGACCGATTTCTGCAGCTTCAAACACAACTTTGCGTCTTCTTCTAAAACTTCCTTTGACTCTTGAATGTCATATTGCTATAGAGCGAGTGGAAACAAAGGCAATAAAGTGTTCTCATTGTCCCAAAGAAATAAACCAGCTACAACCAGGGCAGGTCAACTTTGGCTAGCAGCCAATTTCTCCATTACAGCCTCATGAGAAATCTGTGTGTGCGAGTGGTCAGCAGGCTTTGGTTATTGCTGAAACAGCTACAGGCAGGCTTTACCTACGGTTGTCTAGATTTCCACTCAAAGTAAGAACTACAAAGGGATGGCTGCTCACATAACAGGTAAAAACCGGGACAAGCCAGATCACACACAGCTCGTGTAGCTTTGGTTTTTCTTTCACGTTTGCAACCAGATGGAGGGCTGAAGTTTTAATTGGCATGATATTCCGATATGAACCTGTGCATTAAAGTGATATAAAGAGATGTTGCCTCGGTTCAGCTTTTGGGAAATGTTTGAGAATGCCAGTGGGTAAGAGAAATTATTAAGGTCTAGAGCAAAAGCATGGACCTGACTGTAAACAGACACCAGGCTGATATCAGCCGTGTCCTTCGGTGTTTTCTTAACCTCAGGGTGATGTGTGTGGGCTTAAAGCTATATTTTAAACCCATATTATTTTTACAAAGGGCCCTTGTTGCCAAAGTTCTGACTCAGTTTTAGAGATGTAATGCAGGTCCTCCTCAAGCCGCACATGTAGTGTGACTCCTGCTGTATTTTCTTGTCATTAGGGACCACCAGGAGAGACAGTGCTGGTCGTGCTGGGCCTGGTAATATCAGGGCAACTCTTACAGCAGGAGCCACAGCGGGCCAGCACACGGTCCTGCTATATTATTTTAGTGGCTTCGAAGTGCCAAACATCCTGGCAGTGGACAAACTAAACTCACAAAAACAAAAACATATCAAAAAGTGACAAAGTGATTTCCTGCTACATAAGGGGGGAAAAGCAGCATGCAAGTGAACTTCTCAAACTACACGAATAAATGAGTTTTCAGAAATTTTCAGTCTATGACACTGTGCGAACCCAGTTCTTCTGAATGAAACGGCCACTGTGAAACAATTACACAGACTTTTGGCACCACCTGAACCTTTCCCAAACTGTGCTTGTAGTGCTTTTGGTGGAGCATGCCACAGTTGGTGTGCAGAGTTCAGGCTGCTGATTGTTGCTGACTGTTTATGTCATAATTTATTCTGTAGATGTGCTGGACTCCCAGAGTGAGCAGGTACATTTCCCAGGTACTTCATTGTGCAGTTATTATGTGTTCTCAGTGACTTATCATTTCAGTCTGGATAATTTATCATCACTATCAAATCTTGATTTGGGCTTATGTTAACTTTGCTCTGATTAATTAATTTCATTAATGTTATGTCAGGCTGAAATGCCACCCTCGTAATGAATGCCTCACGGGCCTGTTTTTAATCACTCAAAACCAGAAAGAGTACAGAGGAATGAGATGTGCCTCACTGGTTCTTGTTAAGAGTCTCCCCCTCCTTATTATCTAAACTGAAATATTCTGTAATTATATGCGTGATGTCAGGCATTTTTGCAGTAAATGCTTGGCTGTGAGTTATACTTTCTCATCGCCGCTGGCCAGAAGTGATGGAGCAGGTGATTTTATCGCAAGGGCTTTAATGTGGTGCAGTGCACCTATTTTTAGCACACTGCTGGGTTACAGAGATTTGATGTCACCGGCTGCTGAGTTTGCAGTAGCAGCCCTCCAACTCAGAAAGAGTCATTGCAGCCCACTGTATAGCTGCGTCTTCGTAAGGACACCAGTGTGATGCTGCCTCCTGTGGAGGAGGACAGAAACAGCATGAAATTGACTTTACTCCATGAATGAATGAGTCAATGGCATTTGGAGTGATGCCCAGGACAAGAGATGCTTAGTCTGAGTTTCTGCCTTGCTGCGCCCAACTTACTCTCATGATTGATAGTTAGAGGCTGGAGCTCCATAATAAGCAGCTGGCCTACTTTTTCCATTGAGGCAGCCAGTATTCCTGATGACCTAATGGTGCAGAGAAATATATTTGATTTCACATAATGGGGCTACAAGGCAGGGAAAAAGCCCATGTCTTTAAGTATTAATTAAAGTCTACAGCAATGTATGCTGCTGGACTGCTGTGCAAATAATCCAGTTTGCTTTTTTCCTCATATGAAATGTCTGTCCTCCCACAGGGCCTTTTTCCTTGATCAGTCCAGCATGCCGCCCAGCGCTGCACCCACAGCAGCCCTTATAGATAAGGTAAGAATGGTCCTTAAGAGGCTAATGCAGCTTTCATGACACAATGGGGGGAAAATCTTTGATAAATAGGATTTAGTGTTGCAATATCTGCATGATGTATGCGCTAGAGAGCATCAATGATGGCATGCATAAATCTCTGCAATTATGTCAAGCAATGTAGAAGTTAAGGAGATAAAGTCTCACACAAGTGACTTCAAATATTTCCCAAATCACAGCTGTGATGGCCTAAATACAGCCGAAAGCTCCAAACAATCCTGACTCACTGAGTCAACAGTGAACCTACCCAGCAGCTTCATAATCTGTGGATTATTTTTGCCTTACAGCCATCTCTGTGCATTAGAGTTAGTTTTTTTTTTTTTTTCAGAATCTCTCTCTAACCACCCACCTCATGTTTCCACTCAGTTAATGCGTCCCCTCAATGCTCTGGAGGAGCTCTACCGTCTGATGGAAAGTTTTATCAGCTGTCGCCGCACCGCTGCCTGTCAGTACACGGCCTGCGGGGCCTCTGGAGTGGGGCTGCTCACCGTGGCCTCGGAGCTCTGCTCGCGTCTGGGAGCCACACACATTGTCATGTGCAACAGCGGTGTTCATCGGTGAGTGAGTGGCCACGTCTCCTGGAATGTATCGTACGTTCCTGCTTCTTTGCCTGTGAATTTCCTTTCCTTTTCACGTATGTTGCAGTGACGCTGATTCCACCTTTATCTCCCCTGGCCCAAACGTCCCCCTTCATGCCGTCCCTCTTTCACTTCATGTGATATCTCTGAATTTAGAGCCCTGCTCTGTGAATTGTGAGAACTGTCTAAATGACAATTTGGGCATTAATTAACAGCAGGATGTACTGCTTGATACAACCCGTTGTTTGTCAGACCATATTAGGGACTTTAAGTGGGCAGAGCACCTCACACAGGAAGGGAGCAGGTCAATTACTCCCATTTTCATGGAATTCTATATACAGCTGCTACTGAGGGCGCCATTCATCAGCGCATGAGCACAGAAAAATCCTGATCGTTTGTCACCGCTGATCCCTAGCTGCAGCTTTCATCCTTATCTCATTCTTTTTTTCCTCCACCCTCATACCCCTCTCTCTGATGCCCTCCTTTTTCCACCCTGTGACAGTTCCTATATCTTTTTGTCAGAGTCACGCTTCACGCGCTCACACGCTCCCCATGTGTGAGTGATGGCTTGATAAAGTGCTGTGGAGGGAGTCGCCTCCTTGCCTGCGCCCTAATAGAAAGTTCCTGTCTGCACAATGACTTGTGCTACTTTATTAACCCACAAGCCTGCCCGCATGTATATCACTGTGTGTGTCACACACCAGCCACAACTTACGCAGACAGGCAGCCTCAGTGTACTGTGACATAGCAGGTGACAAGTCCTGTCATATGTGGGTTTATTTGCGCACCAGTTTTCTGCTTCGGTACTACTTTGCCCTCTAAAGCTGCAGAGCGATGAGCCTGTTGGGAATCAGCATCACAAGAAAATGAATCACAAATGCCACCGTCTTCAAAATCAGCATCATCACCTTTGGCAGCCATGACTGCACATGCAGCCTACTTATTACTGAAGGAACACCGATATAGTAGAAAAAAGATTCCAGTGCTTTCAGTGTGCATTTGTAAAGTATGAAATGAAGATGAAAATCTTGAGCATACAAAAAAAAATAGACTGGGGGAAAAAAGGAAACCAAAGCTCTTAATTAGCAGTGTGGAAATTGCTTTATCAGTGGGGCAGGCTTCTCAGGCACTATTGATTGGATTAGTTGGCTTGATGGATGATTTTTAATAACAGTGAAAGTGGGATATTTTGGGGGCATCAGCAGTTTGCAATATGCTGTGCCTTTACTCGCCAGATTTTTTTTTGTCCATCAGCCCTGCAAAAACATCACAAAGGCAGAGTGCTTTGTTTAGCAGTGAGACAAAGCGAGAGTGGGAGAAACTAATCTAACAAAAAAAATCTCCAATTTCTAGTGCACTAACTTTATGAAAGACCTGATATATCTCCGTTGTTTCTATTCATTATTTAGCCATGATACATGCAGCCAGGGCTCATGCTCAGTATTCATGACATCTTTTTCCCTCCACATCCCTTCATCTCTTTCATTCCTCCTCTTTCTGCACCTACTATTTTCCCCTTCCTTTGTGTTAGTCTCTCTCTCCCATTTCCTCTCATTTATCAGCATGTACTCAGTTCTGGAGAAACAGAGTGTGAATGCGATATGGGTTGGAACGACATAAAACAGATGGGTATAAATCATCTCGGTCTATCTCACCAGCCCTAATGAAACGGGAAACTGTGCAGCCTCGCACACACAAATTCAGCGCAGTTCCTTCATCCTGCTCCAGCTGAAGAGATATTTAAAGATCCTCTGTGGGTGACTTTCCCCCCTTCTTTTTGCTGTGTAAAGCTCAAAGGGGGTGCTTGAAAATGATTCTGGGGTGGCCGGTGAAAGGACATCTTATACAGTTCTCTGCTGGGATATCTCTCAGATAATTCTTGGGTTCATTACTTTTATCACGTCATGTCGGGCTTGTCATAAAGTTACGCAACTGGAACCCAAGAGGACTTCTAAATCTCAATCTGATTGACTTTAAGTAATTGAGCCTGGCACCACTAAGTCCCCCTATTCACATCAGCTTGTGTGATTTTTGTTAGAATTGAACCCTACATTAGTGGAGGCGATATTAAGCGAACAGCTCAGATTTCATAGCTACGCTGTAGTGGCCCTGTTAAATGAAAGCTTACGGCCTTGGAACTTTTGGACGGTTCAATTTGCTGTGAAATGGACCAGGATCGATACACTTGTGCTTCTTGCTATCATAGAAAGGTCACCCAGAAGTTATGTCACTTGTCTCTGGTCCTCCAAGGATTTACCCAAGGTGCTGCCATCTGTGTGTATGTAAAGTTTGCAGTGAATCACAGGCTCTCGTCCACACCCATTTTTCACACATCACACTCTTATGGTGATGAGAACATATCGCCTCTGCCACGGGAGACACACTGACTTGTCCTTGGACTCTTTTCCTCACCGCTGTGGCGAGCATCAATTCTGATAATGAGAAGAGTTTTCAGGTGCTGGGTCAGTGTCAGCCCGCCTGCTTGGGCTAAAGCAAAGATTAGCAGTCATTTTCAAAGGCCCTCGGCTGCGTGTCTGCTCGCTGGGACCAACTCCTCAGTGGAAATGATTGCAACTAAAATGATTCACTGGTGTGGAGATGAGCAAAGGGAAAGTAAAAGGAATGTGACGATAATGATGAGGTGACTAAAGGAGCATGGAAATAAATTTGACAAGAGTCTGCATACTGTATATAGATGAAAGTCAGTGTTTGAGTTACTTACCTTAATTTTGATTTCTTTCAATCTGTCTCACAAGCTGCTTTTTTCTCTCTTGCATTCCTTTGAGGACGCTACTGGGTAAAAAAGTGCTGCATCAGGGAAAGAGAAGAAATACCAACATAGATATTGCATAACACTATTTGAGGTCTTGAGAGTCATCCATCTTATGGATGAGAAGCTGCCATGCAGTGGGTCCTGTGGCCTAACTGCAGGCTGTCTCTGATCCACAGCTGCACCCTGAGTGTGACACTGGAACAGGCCATCCTGCTGGCCCGGAACTACGGCCTCCCGCCCCGCTACATAATGCAGGCCACCGACGTCTTGAGGAAACAGGTATGAAATATGCACACAGTCTCATATACAGCGTCACTGTAACAGACTGGATTCCGCAAGAGAAGTTGGCTGAAGATACAAGGACAACATGTCTTTCAGCTCACATGCAGTTAGGGGTGTAAAACACAGTATGAGTTTTTCTCGTTTTTTTAAACTAAACAGTTTTTTAAAAAACTCTTGAAAGATCCATTGAATTTCAAATCAAGGTTCTTTTGGGTAACCCAGTAGTAAACAGGGTTGGTAAACAAGTCCTGATACTACAGTTTTTGGCACAGCGGGAATTTTTCAATTCACAAAACAATTTCCACATCCAGAATCATTAAAGGAATTGTCGGCTCCACTGAGTCCAACATAGGTAGAAATCATGTGGTTTATTCTACTACAGCTAAGTTTTTTCTATAACTAAAATCCACAATACATTGCACAATTTCTACTTCTATATTGTTAAATGTAGTCAGAGGCAATAATTTGGTTTTCTTGATAAAAAATGAGGTCACCTCAACATATTGAGCTTTGTTTCCAACTTGGAATGGGCATTTAGTTTCCAGATGCTGCAGATAAAGTATGTAGCATCATTAAATAGACAGCACCTGCTTCCACAGTATGAATCTGAATCTTATCAAATGAGTGAAGACTTCCTATACAGAGTCAGTGGTAATCTGGAACGGGGAGAAGTTGGCTGTAAAGTGATTTGAATACATCGGTTCAAGTGCCTTTAGCTGAAAGCCTTAAGATCTTTTTCACAACTGGCTTCTCCAACTCACTGAACCCAGACTTCCTGTCCACTGCCACCGGCTCTGGAAAATGCCCATTTTTAACTCACAAAAGTCTCTTGATTTGACCAGTTCTTGGCCCACAGCTCAGATTTTCTTCTCAACAATTGGCTGTTGGGGTAATGGAGCTGCTTGCAATGAAGTGAAATGTCAGCTAAGAGCCATAGGTTTTTTTTAGGACAGAATTTTATTTTGGTCACAAAAAAGTGGACTACAACAAGGACGATGTAACTGCATTGCTTAACTTTACATTCTACAACCCTGTGCGAGGATTTTACACTGAGTATGAAAGGTTGCAGGTGTTTCTGAATCTGTGGAGTCAGAGGAAAACTTTGCCACCGTTAGACGGTTTTCTGACCTTGGGCAGAGATTGAAAGTCCAGTCCAGATAAAAAAGCACAGAGGAGTCTATGTAATCTATGTTTGTTTGTTCTTTCTCTGAGAAGTCAGCTTGGTTTGTAAGTTTTATGCACATCAGATATGTAAATAAATACTTTTTTTTACATGAACTGAAAAAAAAACATAAGGTGTTGATTTTATGAAGGTAGGAAAGACATGAAAAAAAGTCTCAGGGGTTCTGCTGGTCATCTCTGGATGCTGCGTCCTTGTGGAGCTTTAGGGGACAGCTCTGTCTAGAGGCATCAGAATGGATGGCCGCGATAGGAATCGAATAATTGCTGATGCTATCCTGTTATCTGGACATAACTTTGGGCTGGCAGTAAGATGGCAGACAGCTGAATTGTAACTCAAGGGGTCAGCTAATGCACTGTTGTCCGGATGCTCCCTCTGAGGGAGAGGACAGTGATGACCTCTTCAAAGGAATGATTTGATTGTGTTTTTTGCTTACATGCATGCGGCGTAGAGGCAGAGAATGTATCTGTGAGTGCAGGTGTCCACTAACAATGAAAGGATCCCTCATGGCGCCTTTACAGCAGAATCTGCAAGAAGCCAACTGACCAAAGAATCTCCTGACTGGATATAATCAAACTCACAAGACATATACAGTATATACAGACAGAAGTACACTGTTCATCCTCCAAATGTCATACTTTTTATAGAGGAAAAAGCTTTTTAAATTCCAGAGCCTCCCATTGCACAACATGGAATCTACTTTAGAGCATAAAATATTTATAGAGTGCGGTTTAGCTTGGTATGTATACATGTGCTCTCGCTGTTGACACCTTATTATTATAAACCTGACAGGAAGCAATCTCACAAGGGAAAAATGGTATCATTAAACAAGAACTGTCACTAGAGAGCCAAGATCAGCCAAGATGACGTTCAGTCACAGCTGTGTTTTTATGCTAGCTGGACTTCTCCAGGAGGTTCTTCTCATGTTACTGAATTTACAACAAAATCTAATATTTTTCCATTCCAAAAGCCACTGGGAAACAGTGGATTGTTAAGAGTTTGGACAGCAAAATCAGCAAGAAAAAATAACTTTCTACTCCCTCCTGATAAAAAAGAAAATAAATTTAACAGTAAGTTATTGTGCTGGAAGCACAGTACATTGGAAGGCAGTTAGTGGAGAGTTTAGAAATATAACGCTTAGCATTTTCAATCTGTCCAAAAGCTGAATCACCACCATACCTCAGAGTCATTTTTATATGCAAAGCTTTTGGGAAAAGCACTTTGAGATTTCAGGAGGCACAAATGTTCTTTGGCTGCTCTTGTTTCTTCTCCTCGCAGCATTTTGACTTGAATCATGATGCCACATGCTGTTCCTGTCTGCTTGTCTTTTAGGGGGCAAGAGTTCAGAATTCCGCCAAGAATCTTGGAGTAAGAGATCGAACGCCATCATCGGTCCCGAGGTAAAGGTTCAGGCACGGCCTGACCGTGTGTCAGCTGTGATGCCTTCACTGAAAGATAGCAGCTTCTACTCATGTTGATGCCGCTGTTGAATTTAGATGTGGGTTTATGGGTGTGAAATACAGTCTACTTTATCTATAATATTGACTCTGCTGATTCATCAATAATTATTTAAAGATGATGCATCAGGGACTTTGCATACATTATTCAGGTTTTCCCGTGGCTAGTCTTAGCTTTGAAAACAAAAAGAAATAAATGCCCATCTCGTCTGACGAGACTCTTCTGTCTTGGCAGAATGGCCAGTCAGAGCTAAGACTCTTACCGTGTCTCTGTCGGCTGGCTACAGAGAACAAACGTATTCACTAAGACTCCATGTGGTACATGTGACTGGCTAATTCAACTTGACCCATTGTAATTGACGTTATACTTCAGCTATTAAACACTTCAAAACTTTGCCTGCTTTTTAAGACTGCTAGGAGACAGATAGTTAAAATAAGTATAAAAACAGTTCAATTCTATTGGAAAAAAATATTGTCTGGCAGAGTGAGACAAAAATATGCTATTCAGGCTTTTCATACAGGATAATTTTTATATACAGAATTGGAAAACATAGCTTGGTTTTTATATGGAATTCCTTCTCATGGAGCTACATATTGCAATGGGAAAACAATGCAGAAAAATCCAGTCAAAAGCTGAACATGTGCTGCTTGTTGGGACTCTCTTTAAACTGGAGCTCCATTTTTGGTAGCACCTCCTCACAGATCAGAGAAGTGGAGGCGATCAGCAGATCATTGCTTGGGGTTTCTGCATGATTTTTTTAATGCCATGAGGCTCCGCTTGTTGAATGTAAGTAAATGTCACGTCGTATATGTGTTTCTCTGATCAGGTTGTACAAGCTGTGCCAGCCTCCACCCCCAGATGGTGATCCATAATGCATCGCTTCCGGGAAGACTCTAAAGAAATCTCAATGAACTTTGAGGCCCTATCATCAAAGTTTTCTCTCCATCAATATGTTAACCTAATTAAAAAAAGTGACTTTTATACATCCTGACTAGTTGCCTGAAGTGTAAATAGAATTTTCAAGCCGTAAATAGTATTTTAATACTTTCTATTTTTCACAGTTGTACTTTATATGTATTTTTTTCTATTTGTATGGTCTTTTGGACAAGACAATGACTCGGAGTGAGAAAGCTTAAGCAGCTGAAGATAAACGTTAACTCAAAATCAAATAGATCTCATCACGGTTCTCATAAATTGGACTAAAATTAGGCCTTTATGGGGGATGATTGCATATCGTGTCATTGTAAGAATTTTTTTACAGTAAAATATCTATATCTATCCACATATGTAGGTATATACATGTGTGTGTATACACATATCATATACATTGCCCACGATCAGTTACTTGCTGTATTAGTTCTGCCAGTATTGTTTTAAACATTCAAAAGTGTTTTGGAACATGATGCAGGGAATATACATATTAATCAAACACGTTGATGGTTACTGTTTTTCTGGCTCCATTTGGATTTATGAAAATTCTGCATGCATATTAAGATCATCAAAAAATGTAGCAGTATAAAAGATTGTAGTTTTCTGCAGGTAGATCTACAAACATGATTCAGTTCTTCATATGGACAATACTCAGGATTAAAGCATCTCTATGTTATGACTGATGTAATTTTGGGTTGATGGCTAGCTCACTACTATGCAAACAAAAACAGTTCATGAAATGCATCAGTAAGTTCCAGTTGTTTAGAAATCAACGTAAAACTGTGTGTTATTGCTGACATGTATACAGTTTGTAAAAAAAAAACATTAAAGCACATAATGGTGGATCAACAATGTTGTTTTTGTCCAAATAGGGAGAAATGTCAGGGGGAAAAATATAAATATATACACATAGTTTATGTATTTAGTTGGCAGTACTGTGATTTAAAGGTAGTTTGCTTTCATATATCCTCTGTAAGAGTGGGAAGGAAAAAATAGACTGTTATCTTACATGTCCCAAGCTAGCTGTCTTAAAAGGCACAGCAACTTGTCGTCTGGATGTAGCTCAGCTTTTTATTTTATGAAAAATTATAAGAAACTGTTTGGTACTCAACCTTCCCTTGAGGGTTGGAACTTCTTTTTTTACGTTACATTCTTTCTCAGTTTTTGTAGCGTGTGCAGCTGCCAAATGAGAGACTGATCGGGGTAGGGGCTGTGAAAGGCTCTATCAGCACCTTGGTCAGGGGTTTAGACTATTCCAGCTGACGCTGGGCAACAGACAATGACTGGGTCCCCAATTCATCACAGGACCATAAGAGGACAAGGAAAACCAAAAGAGTTCATGTGTGGTCTATTCCTGAATCGAAGGATCGGTCCATTGTTTTTAATCTTTTTTTTTATCTTGCATTGGCAATCTAAGTATTTTAGAATAGAGGAGCGACTAATTTATTGTTTTGTGAGTTCCAATGATTTCCAATAATCCAAGGTTTTAATTAAATCCCTCAACAATCTGTGTTACTTAACACAGATGTCTTCCCAAAGGAAGAAAATGGCCACTCCAAGCCCTAGAAAGTGTCACTTATAATAGAAATGTAATTCAGTCAATCAAAAGGAGCTGTGTCACTGGTCATTTTGCATGTCACAGACATATCTTACACATGTTTGTGTCAAGGCACCATGTGCCTCCTTTAAAAATGTAGAGAAGCCCCTGGAGCAGCTATGCCAGGAATTCCGGAGAGGAACCCCTCTTTCACCTCTAAGACCAGAACAACAGACTATGGAGACCTTTTACATGTCTGAGATCTTCAGTTCAAACAGTTGTTTTCTTAAATCAGTCAAATAGATGAAAGCAACATTAAACTTCACCGTCATCTTTAAGATATCAACCTGAACCCCACAGAAGTTTAAGGCTGACACTGAGGGATGTGATTATTGTAGCCATGAGTCATGGTTGCTATCATTTTCTCCAACCAATATGGTGCATTTGGTCAGAATGATCATAAATTGTGATCAAAGGGTCTTGAAATCACATTTCTTAGCAGCCTGCAATAAAAATACAACATTTCACAGGGCCTGTTTTAGTTATTTTGTTTTTAAAATAAAATATTTTTTAAACTTTAAAACATAAGTTCATATTTAAAAAAATCCTTCTTTTAAAATATGTAAAGTTTAATAAATTTAGTCGGTTAGACACGTGATTTGCTCGTACGGAGGAAAGTAACGTGCTTAACATCTCCGTGCTGGTGGAGGTCCAGCTGCTAACTGGAGTTAACGTCAAACTTCGGACGCGTTCGGAAGCTGTAAGCTAGCTCTGTCAAGCCGTGCCAGCTCACGTGAGACAAACAGCTTTGAAAATAATTGGTCGAACTTTTTTTTTTTGCTTAGCTTTCTTCTTTTTTACACCTAATAAAGCAGGTTGTAGTTGGGCAAGCAGCCGCACGAGCTGTTTGTCGGTGTTTGGGCTTGGTCGTCGCGTGGTCTCGCCCTCAGCGCGCGCGGCTGCCAGCGGGCTAGCCTGAGCCCGGAGCCCGGAGCACGGATGGGAGTGGCGGGAGCCGCGGCTCGGTTATAGCACCGGCAGCCAGTGAGCGGAACATTTGGACTCTGTGCTGTCACAGAGCGGCCGTTTCCGTCGGCTTCCTCCGTGGAGCCCGCCGCCGGACGACTCAGCCGAACGACAAGCAGGGCAGTGGGCTCCGTCCCGGGCTGAGGCTCCGCCGTGACACGGTTCCGGAGCATCCCGCCCGCTGTAACTAACCCCCCCCCCCCCCCTCACTCCCCTTTCCCCCTCCACCCCCCACCGCCTCCCTCTACGTTTAGTCGCCGAGACGCTTCTTGAAGGACGAATGACTCCACTGGCTCACCTCGTGATTTCATTCTGCTAAAAGCTCTTGCGAGGCAAATCAGTTTCTTCATGGCGTCTCCTCAACAGTCCAGAATTCAGTCGTATCTGGAGAAGAATAAAATCGGACCCCTGTTTGAGGTGAGTGCACAGATACACACCTCTGAAGTTTAGTGGCCGCCTGTTAGAGAAGGGCTTTGCACCAGACTGCATTTCCCCTTTTTGTGTAACATGTGCTGTTGTGACAGAGTTAATGAGGACGTGTTGTGGCCGGAGTGGTACTTCTCACACAGCTCATGTGCTGCAGATGTGAGATCAGTCTGCTGACAAAAAAGGGAGAAAGCACCATGGCTTGCTCTGTGTGTGCTGCCTTCTGTAGCGTCCCACGGAGCTCCTTTTTGAATCATGCTGCACTACGGGCAGTGCATCTCCATCATTAGCCTCTCTGGGAGTGATGTAAAGCTGGTGTTTCCACATTTCTGCCGCCTGACTCAACGCTGTTGCAGTTTGCTGAAGTTACAGCTGCTCGGGCAGAGCAGTTGTAAATCTCTGCTGGGTGTTCTGCTACAGGGGAGAGGACAGGGGGCAGCTCGGCCGTCTGTTTGCCAGTCCAGTGATCAGTGTGCTCACGGGTTACCTGGGTGACGTCTGAGCAAGCCAGCGGAGTAAATGACTTACTTCACCTTTTGCCTTTGGACTAATAGCTGAAGGCAGGGCTGAACGGAGGTGCGGGATAATCAGAGTACAGGCAGTAAAACGTCCAGTCAGCATGAGAGGCTGCAGGCCAGTGACTTTACCATTGTTGGACCAAGTGAAAGAGCGGCTGGATGAAATGCTGGATTATAAGTATCAATTTTTTGGATAAAGTTAGGGGACATGAACTGAGGATTTTCAAATTCACATCATGACTTTTTCCCTCTGTGCTTAGAGAAAAAACGCATAGAGAAACCAGCCTGCTCTCCTAACAGGGTTAAGTGCAGTCGTGCAGCTTGTTTCAGCACCTTGGACAGAGACCCGGGCTTTAAAGCCCGCTCATGCTTTTGGAGAGGACGGTAAAGGATTTGATGAGGCTGAACCACACACTGATAGGCCTCTCTGTGCTCCGGGTGTTTGTTTTTCCTGGCTCCACGTCCCTCTTTCACCTGCCTCACCCCTCCCCATCCTCTTCTGCCAGTGCTTATCTCCTTATTTCTGCCTCTTTGCACAATTAAATTGGCTGTCCTTTATGTGGAAATTGAGGATGATTAGCGCGGTGTTTGGGCACTGCTTGCTAAACCTCACCAAAAGCACATCTGTAAACTTAGATATTTACTCCCTGTGTTTAACATACCCTACTTCAGTAAGTCAATCGGCTCCGTTGTCAGATTGAGTAAATAGATGATTACTGAGTGATAAAACGGAAATGGCTGATGTGGATTTTCTTAGGGAACGGGCAGCAGACAGGAAGTGGGGCCACAAAAGGGCGCATGTTAAAACCTTCAAGGTCCTCCACTGTTTTAACATTAAGGTGCTGCTATCCTCCTGTTACACTCGGAAAACCCTGGCCATTTTATTTTAGTTCCCCTAAAAAAGGTGCAAAGTTAATCTTTAAAGAAAATCGAGGAGTGCAAGACAGACTGGTATTCTCCTTGCAGTTTCTTATCAGATAGGGAGACCTGGTGCAGCAGAGGTAATAACACAGCTGCTCTGCTGTGCTGCTTAAACAACAAAAAAAGGCGCTTGCTGGTAGTTTGGTAGACTTCCAGGTAAAACTCATCAGGGAATTAGAGACTGTTCGATGAGGCTTCAACAAAAATGGCCGTGGACCAACATCCACCTAAGACTGGAGAGAAGATTAGGTCAAGTTTCCATTGATTGTGTCAGAAATGTGTCGGGCAGAGCTTAATCCAGTACTGCCCAAGAGGTGTGAAGTCCACAGTTCACACATATAGATCTAGTCTATTTGACCAGTTTTATTTTTGTATAATGTTTTCCTTGGCCCGGTCCCTTTGAATGATAAAATCCTGGTGGAAAACGTAGATTGGTCCATCATAAGTGCCCATGATGCGATCCGGTTCTGCCAACTGCCCAAAGTCATAGATCAGAATCAAAGATCTAAAACTGAAAATCAGCAAACACTGGCTGCAAATATCTCAAAGATTTCTTAACATTACAACAGCGGTGGAAATGTACAGAATTTCTATTGAATAATGTGATAAATTGGGCAATGAGATGGTCCAAAGTATGATATGGTGACCCTTCTTTATTGTGGGCATGCAAATACACTTTGCGTTATTGTATGTGTGGGAGCTCTTTGAGAGTATTTAATGTACAAACACAACACCAAAGGTTTGCCATTTAAGACAAATCCTCTATGACATTTCTGCCTCCATCTGGAACTTTCTTTTTTCCATACCCCAGCTCTTTTTTCCCTTTATCCCTCCTCACTCTCATACACAAAGCCCCATCCCTCCTCCCCCCTACCCAGCACACATCTGCAGCATTGAACAGTGCAAGTATCGGCCAGTGGGGGTTCATTTACTCACACTGATGAGACACAGCTTATGATTTGCCCAAGAATTGATTTCTCTCCCCCCCAACACACTAATGAAATGGTTACTTTGCAGAGATAGCAAGCTGAGTCAACACTGGCTGAATATCCTCCAAAAAGTCAGGCAGCCTTTCATAATAACTGGAGTAATTGCACTCAGAGTTGTCCTAGCACGTTTGGCTAAATTGATATTCTCTCAAAACACGTTTTCCTGTCGCCTAACAGCTTCAGCGCAGCGCCTTATTTCACATTTTTGCTGCATGCACTCAGGGTGGTCTTTTTCTTGTATTCCTGTCATAGCTGTTTTTCTTTTTGTTTTGAAGTCACATGTTTTTTTGTTTGTTCTGAACCCAAGATAGTGGGATGTCATGAATATTTTTTTTTTCCACTTTACTATGGAAAGTTGCCCAGGTCTACAACGCATTGTACAAAACAGCCAAAAGTTGTTGACATGCCAATTTAAGGCTGTAATATATTTTTAAAAAAAAGTTATTCAACATAAGTTATGTTCACAGGA